CGACATTAGATAAAATTAATGATATTACACACAAATACGAGGTAGATATGACACTAAACAAAACTGAGGCGCTAAAATTACGCCATTGGTGTAATCAGATTGCAATTCTATATACTTCTATCTCTTTCCGTATCATACGTTCTGTACCATCTGTCACATTCACTTATATATGTCATATAACGTAAAGCGGAACAATTTTTAAACACCGCGCAGTATGGACATGCGTCATCTTTATGTGCAATAATCTTGTCAATAATCTTTATTCTTTTTATTAGCATTCCACAATGTGGCTTAGGTGGTAAAAATTAAAATTAAGAATCATCATGGACCATGTTAGGGCAAAGCAATAGTTTTTTTTTATGTGAAAAGTTGCCAAACGAGCAGACGGTTCACCTGATGTTAAGTGAATATCATGGACATCTGCTACACCCGACGGTTTGCAGATGCTACGCGAAAGTATTATACTTCCACTTTACGCCGGTCTTCTGTGAGGTCGTGGTACTTACCCGGACGAGCGTGCCCATTCGTGCAACAGCCGAGGCTACTGCGTGGCCCTACCACCGTAAAATATATCAAAGTAAAATTGTTAAGATTAAAATACAATTTGCTGTTCATGCATTAGATTACATTTTCATTTTACTTTAACATTTTTACAAAATTATCCGTGCAATCTCAATAAAACCGAATATTATTTTTTTTTACACAAATGAAAGATAGTTATTGCTTTGTTATTAATGTGCGATTTCTTGTTCATTTATTCCCGTTCGAAACGTATACTTCTTTGAAGCAAGATCAATTGAGTTAACGTCGTTTTTATTTCGTTTCAAGTGTTTTGATTTTTGACTAATATCTTCTCGGTTATTGTTTGAATTTTGCGTTATGATTTTCGGGAAATAACACGCTTTCGGATACATACGCTGTGCTCGCGTCACCTCGTTTCGTGTAGCGCAAAGTAGCTGACATGACTCGGTTCAAACGCTCGTTAGCTTGCCAAGACGATTGCCAAGACGTCCGTTGAGAAACGACATCGAGCCAGACTTTGGCTTTAGCCGCATATGTCCGTCTTATAAATATATACTACATACGAACGTTGCCAACTCTGAATTGGATGAAATCTCGTGTAACGAACTGGGATTGACTTAAAAGCTGCTCTGAGTATTTATCGCTTACTTTCACAGAATTGGTTTTTGTTTATATATACTAGCGGCCCGCTCCGACTTTGCTTGAAGGGTGCAATGTGCATATAAACCTTCTTGAACCACTTAATCTCACTCTATAAAAACCGATACGTAGTTTAAAAGATCTAAGCGTACAAACAACGGTAGCGACTTTGTTTCATACTTTGTAGAGATTATATTTAAATTCGAAAGAATCAGCTACATGCCACGAAATATTACGCAATCCCAACAAAAGGCCATCTGTACGTATGTTATAGCCTTTTTGATGTTCAATTCACGTTGAAACGAGAATTAGATTGACCCCGTCGTTTGAATAAGTTAACTGTAATATTTTAGCTATAATTTGCCAGAGAAAACCAACGAGGGTCGTACATGAATGTTATTTCTCGCGTAAGTAATGCCAATATCATTCGCGTTTTAGCTGACTCGTATAAAATAAACCTAAATTACAGTTATATGCATACATCTATCTCGAGCAATCTGAGCTTGATCCCCGATGCCGGCACCAATGAAATTGTTAATTTTAAGTGCTGAATAATCACGTGGCTCAGCGGTGAAGTAAAACACCGTGAGGAAACCTGCGCATTTTCGAAATAATAATAAAAAAAATAATTCGAAGATATGTGAAGTCCGCCAATCGGCAGTGGGGCCGCATGGTGGACTATGATACCCTCCGTACAGAGGAGGCCTTTGCCCAGCTGTGTGACATGTATAGGCTGATACTTTACTTTACTTTTTAGCCATGATAGGTCATTGTCCAGATGTTCGCTTTTAGTTCAATAAACTCGAGCAATCTGAGTTTGATCCCCGGTGCAGGCACCAAATGAAATTTTAAGTGCTGGCTTATCACGTGTTCAGCGGTGAAGGAAAACATCGTGAACATATCATTTATATAAGATTAAATTATAAATGTGTACATTAGGAAACACTTAAACAGACGTAAATAAAAAAAACACTGTAATAAAAGTTGATCATAATATGTTGTAGTTCTACAACCTTTTTATAGCCGCACTCAGAGACTCAAGTTAACGCTATACTGGCATTTACCTGCTCTAACAGGAAAGGAAATAATGTCGCGAGAGGTTTTACAACCATAAAACGACAGACATTAAGTATCCAAATGGCCTGTAGCAACTATTTATGGAACACATAAAATTTTACCCGCACAGGCATCGAACCCGTGATGCTTCAATGGCCAAGAAGATCTCTTAAAGCATTGTACCGTGCTCACAATTAATTTACTAAATTGATTTATGTGTTGAGTCTAAGTTTAGTGAGCATTTAATTATCTGAGCAAGACCGATAGGATGTCATATTTTCATACATTTTATGTATGTATAGCTAAACAATGTATTTAATAAAAAAATCAAAAGGACAACCATTTATTATATTATGTGTTATATTTTTATATTTAATAATTATGTTTTTTTTTATTTTATAACTGTGTTTGCACTTACCTCAACTTCTCAGTACCACCCTAAGGTTGACTGGTAGAAAATGCTGTCAGCATTAAGTCCGCCTATGTACTGTTTTGTGCATAAAGTTTAAAAATAAAAAAAAAAAAAAAAATTTACTATATTAATATATGTTTTAAACCTTTGAAAGGTAATTTATTACTAAATATTACTGATAGTTATAATGTGAAAAAAAATTATTATACCATTAGAACCTTACTTATAATGAGAAAAGAATTTCACTGTTTACGTGTCTTTAAGACTCATTTAATTATTTTTTTATTTTGGATTACCAATTCATTAACTAAAACAGAAATTAAAACATGTATTGAGTGCACTGTACCACGACGTGCAAAATAAATAAAAACCGGCCAAGTGCGAGTTGGACTCGCGTACGAAAGGATCCGTACCACTACTTACTGTAATATGATAAAGTAAGTGGCGTTTTTTGTATGGGAGCCCCCTTAAATATTTTTATTTTATTCTGTTTTTTAGTATTTGTTGTTATAGCGGCAACAGAAATACATCATGCGTGAAAATTTGTCTATGGCACTATCACGGTTCATTAGGTACAGCCTGGCGACAGACGAACAGACAGACAGACAGCGAAGGGTCCCGAAATATGGTCCTGTTTTACCCATTGGGTACGGATCCCTAAAAAGTCTTCCTCGCTTCAGTAAACGAGAAATGGAACGCGTCATTCTAAATTAAAAAAAAGAAATCGCTTCTAACTATTCGCTTTACCATTTAGGTTTAAAATAGGAATGTTCGCTAAACGCTTCTAGATGCCCCGTTTAATGTTGTTATTTATTTAAAATATTCCCTTTGAGACGTTGTTTCGCTAAGGGGCAATATAAATAGTGCGCGTGCTTTCTGCAATGCGCCTTTATGCAGTTTCCCCTCGTCCGATGACGTTAAATTTCAAAACATTTAGAAAAATATTGCAGAGTTATATAATAACTAGCGACCCTCCCCGGCTTCACACGGGTGCAATGTATTATATATATGAACCTTCCTCTTGAATCACTCTATCTAGTAAAAAAAACCGCATCAAGATCCGTTGTGTAGTTTAAAGATCTAAGCATACATAGCGACAGACAGACAGCGGGATGACTTTGTTTTATGCTATGTAGTGATGCACAGCAAAGAGACGTTTACATTTCAAGTGACATTTTACCACAGTCACCCACTTGTTTTGCTTTCCCGGAACCCTCCACTTACAATTAAACTTTATGTTATGGCATTAAAGTTCAAATTGACTAATAATATTACGAATCTTTCGTACGGGAATATAAAATAGTGTTCTTTTTAGACTTTTTCAGGCAATTTTTTAATTTTTTTCTTTCATAAGAAAGGTTCTCCTGATAATAACAAACACAACAAAAAATGTGAAATCGGTCCAGCCGTTCACGCGTGACGGCGTGACCAAGGGAAATAGGGATTAATTTTTATATATATAAAGAAGATAACGTAGCGGTGGTATAGTATCAGATTTGCGCGAATATAGACACTTTCGCGTGTTTTACTCCCAGCGAGTGACACTCGGTTGCTTACGTAAATCACTTGTGCAATACGTAAAGTTGTCTTGATAAAGAATAGGGGTAACATATTATAAGTCCTCATTTAAATAGTACGGTACCGATTAAAAGCTGTTAAGAAAATCATAACAATTGAACAAATTAACATTCCATATCCTCCTGTCTAAATATAAAGTGAGTGACGCTACTGTAAAGTGAATATGCCTTAATATAAAGTATACAGGAACCGTTATTTTAGTAACGCGTCCATAAACCATCAATGACAAGTAGCGAATAAAAGTGTACAAAATATGAATGATAGGACTACAGTAAATGTGGATGAAAAGGTCTATAAAATCGATAAGTTTTTTCGGTCATGATGATTAAAATAAAAAAATGTGGTAAAACCAAACAATATCTTTGGTTTTGGCATGAATGGGCAGGTTCGTCCGGGTGCAGTCAAATTCAAAATCAATTCAAATATTCAATATAGAAGCATCACACTTAGTTATTGATAACATTATCCCGTGTTGTAGGGACGTTTTACAAACATAAACTTCACGTGGACACACCCAGACGCGAAACAACCATCTGTCGGTCACAAAAATATTGATCCCGTATGGGAATCGAACCCACGACCCCCGACGCCTTAACCGATACCTTCGCAATTGAGCCACGGAGTCATCAGCTGTCCATGAGCGGCGATAATCACTTAACATCAGGTGATTAACATCACCGCAAGCTCGCGTGACATCATTTCACGTAAAAATTTCTAATACAACATTTTATAAATCAAAGGAAAGAAAAGATCAATACGCGTTTTCCTATCAATACAAATCTTTCGTCAACAGCTGCAGCTATGACTTTCTGGACATCTACGAGTCAGGACTGGACAATGGCACCGAGCGTGTAAGCGAAGAGTGGCTGCTACCTGACCAACATCACTTCTACAACCACGAGAACGAGGTATACATTACAGACCCAGTTTTTTTAGAGGTGTTACGCGATTTCATGTTTTATATGGATAACTTTGGTTGATACTCTTATTCCTAATCCATGGAAAATCGTTCATCAGGGTCTAATAAAATGATGTTTCTAGATTATTTTAAACAAAAGTTCAACTATCTAAAAGCTGGTCATCCACCCATATAAAATGCTATACCTCTATCACTCTAACAAAGAATTTATGGTATAACGCTTGCCAAATTTATAGACAAAATCAGTACATGTGAAAAATAGTCTTTTATTTCTCTTTGTAACGTTTAGTTAACTCTTCTGTGGAACATACGATGTACATATATCGATAATTTCTGTTTACTCATTGCGTTACGGCTACCAAGCTACGAAACGTCTTAACACATCTTTTTCGGTGATCGTAAGTTTTATATTCCAAATGCTAACATCTCTGCAAATGTTTGCAAGAATATATTGGATAATCTTGCAAACATTTTCAGAATAAATGAATAAATAAATAGAATATTTCACAGATGGAGCAAAACGAAAGATTCCAATAAACGAGGTGATAATGTGGGTGTTTACCATTAAGTTGATAATAATGATGAAAGTAAAACAATGGCAAAAGGTTCAACATTAAAAGGGCCAGTAAAAGTAGAGTATTAACTTTCTATATCGCATCACAACCCTTTCGTTCATTACGTGCAAACACGAACGGATATAGCAGGTCGGGTCGTTTGGTTGCGTTGCAAATTAAACATATTAACAAGGTTACTCATCAAACGCGCCGCCCAATCAAGCTCAATAGCGCTTCGCTGGAAGCCGGTTTCATTAAGCAGCCGATGATGTTACTGGCGGGTTTTTCGGACGGCTACTAGTTTTGCACAAACAAAAAGCCGGGAGCTGTTACGACTTCGTCGCCTTTCACTGGCTGCTCTTCAGATCTGAACTGACTGCTAAAGATGCAAACACAACGCAGGTCAATTTATTACTTAATTAGAACGGAAAGGGTGGCAGCGTTTGAAGCGTCTGAAATTAAAACAATAATAACATCAATCTAATTTTATTATACAATCAAGGATCTAGCTCTGTTCTGTGTTAACCTAAGTTCTGTGTTTGATGATGAGTTAAGAGTCTAAGAGTAAAATGTGTGACGTCGCGTTTAAATCAGTCTTGAGTTACCACCGCTCAGCACTGAGTATGCTCAGGTGTGAGTGACTCCGTAGCGCAATTACTAAGGTATTGGCTTCGGGAGTAGTGGGTTCGATTACCACACAAGACAAGTATTTGTGTGGCCCGCAGGTAATTGTTTCAGATCCGGATATTTGTTCGCGTGAAATTTATGTAAGCAAAACGTCCTTACAACAGGATAATGTTATCTAATGGGACAGTAATTTTCGATGGGAAAACTTCGTTATATCTTTATAGATCGCAGCGCTGCTTGGGACTTAATACCCAGACCCTTCCACACAAAATGCAAATACAAAAACTTCTCTTCACACACATTTGCACATCAGCGTCCCTCAGCGCAATTTAATCAGCCCACAGTCATGACTGTTCAGCGCTGAGTGTCTCAGCCTCATTATGCTCAGGTGTGGGAGGAAATGGGGGCCCTCCTGCCGGAGTCAGACGCGGTCAGCGCCGGCTGGAGCCGTGATTCTGGCGGGTTCCACGCGCGCCGCCTCTGCGGCGACTGGAGCGGCAAGCTGAAACTGCTCCGCTACCAGTCGCGGGGAAACGTGCTGAGGCTCCGCTTCCGCACCGACCACTCGGGCCACTACGCCGGCTTCAGGGCGAAGGTCACCGTCGCCGATTGTAAGTACTCTTGGAAACCATCTGGTATCATCTTATATATATGTAGTACCTGGAGGACAGAGCTTTTTTTTTTTTGGTAAATCATGTATTTTGGAAATAAAAAAAAAATAAAAATAAGATCTGGTATAGAAAAAAAGTAAAAGAATTAGTGTGTAAATGATCGTGATACGAACCGCGGCCGTCTGTTTTGGGGCCGCTTGATTACCGACCGAGCTATTATAACACTTTTTTTTTGCGGCGAAATTTACTGTCATATTCGAATGATATTTTTCATTCCCTGAAAACAGGGATAAAAGGACATTTTCTAAAAATAAAACCTAGCTAGATCGATTTTTCGCCCCCGAATCTACGCACATACTAAGTTTCATGAAAATCGCTAGAGCCGTTTCCGAGATTCCGATTATATATAAGGATAAGATATAACGTTAATTGTACCGGAGAAGATATTTGTCAATATAAATCATTCCCTGCTTTTACTACAAGTACCCAGTTTGTAAAGGGAAAGGTTTGCAACGAAAGGTGGCAAGCGACCAGGTGGTTCACCTGATGTTAAATGATAACCGCCGCCCATTGACATTTGCAACACCCGTAGGGTTGAAGATTCGTTGCCATCTTTCAATAAATCGCGCCCCAGCTACCAGAAGCATAACAGTTCCATTTCACACCGGTCTTCTCTTAAGTCGTGGTACTTACCCGGACGAACCTGCCCATTTATGCAACAGAACAGTGTTGCGTGGTCACCACAATTCTGTGGTAAGGCCACTGATGAAAATAAAGCCAATGCTGTATGAATGGAAAATCTGTGTACACTGTTACAACATTTTCACAATTCAGCCGCAATATTGAATTTATTTACTCACACTGCTCTGCGGTGCTTTCTGTTGTATTGCCAATTCGGTTTCTAAAGCGTCACCAAGAAACATACTTGCGTAATTCTATAATGGCATTACGCTCCTACGTGTTGCGCAGTCGGTCAAATATATCCAATGACTAGATTAATAGCAACAACGTCACCATTAAGAGCTAATAGAAAAAGTCACTAAGACTTATTTGCGTATCTTTTTGAAATGTATCAAAAGAAAAAAAAAAGCAGGCTGAAAAACTAGAAAGTACAATCTATTCGAACTTCGAAGATTCAATTAGATATATTCTATTCAGAGCAGCGTCCATTGTTTAACGCCAAAGTTACCCAGTTCCAGCTCCAACTTGTTTCGCCTCGCCCGGCTATCCGAGTGGAACATGGAACATCGCTGTGCGGAACGAGAAGTGGAAGTTTTCGCGAATGGAACATTGTTCTTCGAGACAAGGGCTGCGGATGTAACAAAGTCCAAGCAGCGTTGTCTGTTCTTTTCTGCTTTCGATCGACATTACCGTTCAATCGTTTCCTTTATCGACTAAATAATAAGTATCTCCTATTGTATAGTCTTCGCAAATTAAATGTTTTTAGGGTTCCGTACCCAAAGGGTAAAAGTCAAAGTCAAATATATTTATTCAATATAGAAGTTATTCACTTACTTATTGATAGTCAAAAAACTCTACCATTCGGAAGGAAAGCCTGACTGACCTGAGAAGAACCAGTGTAAGAAACTCAGCGGGACATTTTTTTAATTTGACCAAAAAGTCACAAATATGTGTACAATTTATTAAATTCAAAACGGGACCCCATTACTGAGACTCCGCTGTCTGTCTGTCTGTCCGCCTGTCACCAGGCTGTATCTCATGAACCGTAGTAGTTAGACAGTTGAAATTTTTTAACAAATGATGGATTTCCATTGCCGCTACAACAACAAATAGTGAAAAACAGAATAAAAAAATATTTAACTGGGGCTCCCATATAACGGCAATGATTTTTTTTGCCGTTTTTATAGATAACGGTACGGAACACTTCGTGCGCGAGTCCGACTCGCACTTGACTGATTTTATAGTCGTTTAACAAGTCAATCGGCTAACTTTAAGCCAAAGCTAAGCAAAAAATATATTGCAAGTTTTGGTACTTTTAAGTGAAATCCAAATCTTGGCATTTCAGATATTTCGCAAAATTCACATGTGGTGACGTGATACAAATTAATCTCGATAAAAAAATATGGCAACATTAACGAAAAAAAATATAACAATGCAACAAAAATATCCCTGGAATAAGTAAATATCACTTTACCTGTTACTTTCGCAAAAATAAAGAAAATATAATATGAAAATAATCTAATAATAATCTTTCTTACTTATATAGATTCGTGCATAAAAATAATCTTTCCTACTCGCACTGAATAAATACTTCAAAGCTCTAAGCAGTTAATTCAAGACAGGGAAATATTTATTCGGAAATTTTCGTGATATTTATCATGTATTAAGATATATCGAATATTTTTCCTGTTTATTACATAGAGAAAAGCGGTTTTCCTTTCTTTCTCGAAGATTCTTTCAGCGTCTCCCAAGGTAAAATGAGTACATATGATTCATTCTCTACTATCATACGCGGCCACTTGGATAGCGCCACAACCCTTTTCCATTCAAATCCTATTCTCTCCCTATCTTTCAAATTCGTATTTAAGACTTCTCTCTGTTTCAAATTAAAAAAAGGGTTGAAATATTCTTTTAATCGTACATATTTAAATCAATAAATTGACATGTTTTAATGTCTATGCTCCAACCAAGTCTTGTATGACCAATTGAAATTATTTCCAAGGCACCACGAGAAATTTGGAAGACACGATTAACAAGGAAAGATATCCGATTTTCGTTTTTGAAGACTGAAATCGATAGAAGAATTATATAACCTTTCGTGCAGGAAATCAAAAAAACTTTTCTTTAAAATAAATCATCGAATCGCGTTAAAAATAAGGTTGTACCGCCTGCTTCATATGAGCGAGTAGTCTCGATTGATAGAGATTGAATCAAAAATGCCATAACGGTATTAAGAGCCGTGATAGCTCAGTATCGCTCGCTTTTAATTTAATACACTCGCGCAATCTGAGTTGAAATCCCAAATCCGGTATCAATTAAATTGTTGATTGAACTTTTAAATGTTGACTTATCACATGCTCAGCGCTGAAGGAAACCTCGGGAACCTGCATATTTTAAATTTGTACTAACTCTGGGAGAAACCCAGGATATTACTAATATTGACCCGTACAGCCTCACTTAAAAGTAGCAGAAAAACAACCAGTCAGACATCAACAACTTTTTTTTACCCAAAAATCGGCTAGTCCTTGAATAGTATCCCATCCAATGGTAAATAAGATGTAATCTCAGATGGTTAATTGTTCCACACTTTGCTGTACGCATTACCAGAGATATTTTATTTAAAAGACAATTTTTTTTTTTTCGAAAAATCAATTAATTAGAAATGCCTACATTTATAATGAAATAGGCCACCATTTGATAGGCTTAGTAGACATGTATATATTCTCCTACTCATTCATTTATGTAAAAATATGTTTTTGGCATATATACTTGATGAGCGTACTAATTCTGCGGCTGAATCTCGTAGCACTACGTTGGCGTAGCGAATAAAATTCACGCGGGAAAACATTCCGACCACGCAAAGCGCTCTTGAATTCCATACGTTTCTGGGGCGAGTGAATGAACGAATGGAATCGGCTAACGAGACCGGGCGAACGTTTTCGTACCCCTTTGAATGCAGCTTACAGGATGGGCGCATCGTTGCGTAATATCATTCGATATTCACGCCGTCATTGTAGCTCGACTTTGAATGGTTACAGTGAGTTTATGGATGAAATTCGTAAAACAGGTTCATTTTACGAATTTTATCGGGTTTTAATTTTATTTTAAATTCCTCTACGTTTCACACGCGTTTGTGTTCAACTATTCCGCGCATTTACGGCCTGGAAGTATTTGCTGTGAATTTGGTGGGTCTAAAAAGGAATAATTTCTTATGAGTTGCTTCCATATTATCAAACACTAAATTCGGATCTATACTGTCAAAAACTGGACCGTTTGGAACTAGTTAGAATTCTCCATCGGGAAAGTGTTGTGCTCATCAGAAAAACGCCGGGTTACTCAGTAACTCCTAGAGCTTAGCTGGGAAGTATTGGAATACTCTGGACCTGGCACCAAGCGTAGACCAATAGGACCAAGACTTCTATAAGAGTGTCATTGTGATGTTACCTGTAAAGTGACAACAAAATTACTAATCCGATCATGTAGAGTGACTGGAAGGTCACGAAAAAATAATTCATCTCTCCCAAAACTTATATTAATTTTAATCTTGTAACAAAATATACACTATATACTTGTACTATTGGTACTAGGTAACTGATAACCATACTTAAACATACTTTTAGAACAGACACTAGAAAACACTTCGTTCGACACACAACATTCGTCCCGTTGTAGGGTTCGAAGCCACAACCTCCGGCGCAAGAGACAGGGTCATTATCAGCTACGAAGCTACGACACTTGGGTAATCAATTTATAGAAACGTCCACCACCTGAACGAAGTTACTATACCATTATGCATCAATTTGCTAGTTTCATTCACCTCCCTAATTTTGGGGCGAATTCGCGCGGTCAACTTGGCCGCGGGATGCCTTACGCTTCACTTTGATTAAGAAAACTACTTTTGTTAAGAAAAAAAAAAATAATTACAAAAAAGAGGATACCTACGGAGTTTCTTTCGCCTGTTTCTTCTCCGCTAGAGGAACCTCATTACGAAACGGTGGTAGATTTAAAAAAAAATATGACTATTGATAAATGAAATGTAAGTTTCTTATGTCGATGAATAAATGATTTTGATTTTGATTTTGATTTCACCGAAGGGCGCCCCTGCCGCAATATTGTCGACCTATTTCGCCGATGCCCCGCCACGTGATTTCAACGTGCCGTGCGAACGCTTTACTAGTGATGTGCATCGCCCGGTAATTATTATGACGTCATAAAATTATATTAATTAACACTTTCTGTGATATTCACGCGAACAACACGTTTTGATAAAAGTAATTTAATGATTGGTTTTAGATTAAAAGGAGAACCATTAGAATTATCTAGATTTTTACATAAACTATCCTAATGTAAATCATTAATGTTTTCACAATAAAGACTTGCATTCACTGTTATCCCTAAAAATGCTTTATATTAATCTTGTATAATTATTTGAAGTTTACCAAGACAAGGATAAGTAAAAAAAATTACGGTCTGTCTGTTTATCGTAACAGAAACAGCAGACTAACTGGAATACAATAAGATGGAATATTCTTTCCCAGATTTGAACCATTTTAGAATGTAATTTTTTAATTGTACCCTGAGACCTCATTGAAGCCGATAGCGATCACCAGTTTTGTTCAGTGCAAATCCAACCTAACCTTACTGGCTTTTTTAGGTATTCATAAAAGTCGGACCATCAGAAATTGTTCGACAAAACCCTTGCAGGTTATTTTTCAGATGTGGCTGGTGAAATAGTCTCCCTCTAAAATTTTGGAGTTGTCACAATCGAATAGGAAAACAAAGGAAAATTATTTTTATATCTTTGTTTTTTAATAATCAAATAAGTTCCTCACACTACTCCATGTGTCTTTATAATTAACTATCGCTATCATCGTTCGTGTTCATAAAATTAAAAGGGGAGTTTTAATTATTCCTCTCGATTTATAGGTATGCGGGCGGAACCGATAAAGTTTTATAGCATCGCCTCTCAATAGCGCTATATTCCCGCCCCATTTCCCGTGCCCGGTGCCTAAGCGGTCACAATAGCTGCAGCGATCATTGGGATCCCATTAAAAATGATCCGAATTAAATTCCGATCTACTGCAACTTCATGATCGTACTGTTCCGACTTAATGAACACCTGGATTCCCAATTGGCGCAAAGAGATTGGAGAAATGATTGAAGAAAAGTTAATTGGTGAAGTTTTTATGTATTGCATCGCAGCTCAGATCTTACATTTGGTAGTGTTTATACACCGTTAACACTTTCAGCAACCGACTTCAAAAAAAGAGGTTCTCAATTCGGTTGTATGATTATTTTTGCACTGGTCTCAGTTTAGCTCCCATGTGATCTCATATTAGTTTCATTGGTACTGAACATTTCACTCCGTTGATTTTGATATAATTCCTAACTATTTCTTATTGTTCCTAAATAACATCAAGAAGCGGTGATATGTCGACTGCAAACGTCGATACTAAATAATTTACTTAAATCTGTTACTACATCACAAAGTAATAAAACATTTTTTTGAAATTTAAAGATACTTACCTAACAGCAGTACGCCATATAAACCCTTTTTAATTGTTAATAATTCGTCATTCACCGAATGGTCAAAAAGGGTCATTTCGAATTACGAGATTTCTTTAATCGTCATTGTAATTTAAACCTTCTGCAATATCTTTAAAGTACACTTCCATTTATACCATACGAGCACGTGACTCAATGAATGTTCCGAAGAAAGAGCGGGACTTCGTCGCACAAACAGAATGGAAAACAGGCCTCAACGGCCTCAACTCACAAAAGTGCCACCATACTTCTACCGTTTACTATTATAGCTCTTATTAGTCTAACAACTATTTTTAAACTCCATGCTCTTTTGTATAATTTACTAATATCATTGCTCCGCAGTAATCAGTTGTGGGATACTGCTGTTAAAGTACTTAAATTCACTACGTTCAGCAAGAATTAAAAATGATTATACCCTACTTTTTGACGTTATTTATTCAAGAAAGTTTAAACGTAAAGGAGTAAACGTAAAAAGTAATCCGTAAACATAGTTTCATTTAGTAATGTGTAATCGCGTAAATACAAGAAATTATTATGTAAAAGATATGTATCAAATATGGTTAAATGAAACTTTTTTACCGATCTTATCGCGTTTTATTTTGATTTGAAATTTCTTTCTTTGCGAACACTACAGTGTTAATGGTCACGGGATAAACTGTGTAAAATAAAACTTCATGAAATGCGTAAAATAGTCTCATTTAACCGTGTGTAGAATTCGCGTAAATACAAGAAATCAGTGTGCATCGAAAATATCAATACTATTAAGGTCACAATCTGCATTAATATCAATTGGCATGCTACTTGTCAAACTCTGTATATAATCGAGACCTTTATTACCTGAGAAGATATTTATGATGTACTTTATTTCGACGCCCCATACCCAACAGTTAATTTTGATATACAAAAAATATTTTGCGGCGTCCGTCGGTGTGAAGATAAGCCGTATAGCTCAGTGTCTAGAGCATCGCCTCGACTCATAGTCTCGGATGTCTGTATGTCTGTCTGTCTGTCTGTCTATCTGTCTATCTGTCTGTTCGCCTGACACCAGGCTGTATCTCATGAACCGTGATAGTTAAACAGTTGAAATTTTCACAGGTGACGTATTTCTGTTGCCGCTATAACAACAAAGAATAAAAAAAATGTAAACTGGGACTCCCATATCACAGACATTATTTTTTTGCCGTTTATATGGATAACGGTACGGAAACCTTTGTCCGACTCGCACTAGGCTGGTTTTTTTCTACAAATTTTAAAATTTCATCCAAAATGCAGAGAATAGATTAACCTTAAAATTAGTGCTAATATGTTTAGATCCATATAATAATAAAGTTTCACGTCAAAGCAGCAACACTTCTCTTTTGAGTTCTCTCGCAACAAAGATATGTTGATTAAATGACTCTTGTTCTGCACTTGCAAGACCCCTGGCTGCTGCTGATTTTATACCTCAATAAGTTTGTATAATTGCACCAAAAAAAATTACAAAAAGGACAAGACCGCAGAGTTTCTTGCCGGTTCTTCTCTGTGCAGGTCTAGTTTAGTGAACCGGTGGTAGATTTTTTGATGACGTTCAATAAGAGCTTAATATAAGCCTATATTGAATAAATATACTTTGACTTTGACTAAGCATACACAGGGACAGACAGAAGGCGGGACGACTTTGTTTTATATCATGTAGTGAAGTAGGAGTAATTGTTTTTTTACCACTTAATACTTAAGAACCCATAACAGATGAAGGGCTGCTTGAAAGAATTTGCTACGGAACCCGCGCTTGCTTAATCCGGCCCTGGGCCCATCAACGCTATCACGGCAGTGACCTGAAAACAGGAAATAGGTTAGCGGTGAGCATCCGAAACACGCTGAACCAGTTCATTCGCATTCCGTTCATTCTCCGAGCGAATGAATGAGTGGGAAGGGTTAACGAGTACGTTTCGTACATGACTGAGTAATAAAGTTAACCGTACTGCCAACCAATGTGCCAATCGAGCTGAGCATTATTAAAAAGGAACCCTTTACTATCCCTTTAGGATCTTTTTATAAATAATTCTACTGTACGTGTGTATGTCACTGAACACCTAAACGGCTGAACCGATTTTATTGAAATTTTTTGTGTGTCTTCAGGTCGATTCGAGAATTTAGATTCATATTTTAAGTTATCAGATTTACGTCGTGTGTACAGGAAAACGTGTGCCCAGTCCGCAAGTTGAATATATATGTTTATCGCTCTTACTGAGTATAACATTAGTTGTAATAACATTTTACAAACATAAATTTCACGTTGGCAAACAAATAAAAAATTTGCAAGTTACAAGTTGCCATATCCGAAAGAGTTATCTGAGGCTCATACGAATAATTGTCGAGCGTGGGAATCGAACCCTTAAGCCTTCATCTTGGCTTAAGCTTAAGCCAACATCTTGGCAACTGCGCAGCGGAGTCATTTGTGTTTTGCTTTCTAAACATATTCCTTGAACTTAATAACTAAATATTAAATCTGTTAGCGTTAATTTAAGTTTAAAGTTTCGCATTACCATGTTTAATACTAGCGATTTACATAAGAATATGGTAATTTCTCAGCAGTTTACTAAGTTCCAAAAGACAACAGGCGACAAGCTTGTCTCTGTACAGCACGAGTTTTAGATAGTAAATGACAAATATTCACTCTTATTTGACATTAAAATTACCGTCGCGGGCGTAAAATCAAAAATTCTGTAATTTTTCAAATAAAAAAGTTAAAAGTAATAAGCCTTTAAGCATATACGCCCCTTGCTGAGAACAGCCTTTCTATAAGGTATTAGGGTATAGTCCACTAGGAGACACCATTACCGATTGCCAGAGACAACATTTAGCATTTTTTTATTATAATTTCTAAAATATGCACATTTCCTCACGATGTCTTCTTTTACCTTTGAACACGTGATAAATCAGCACTTGAAACGTCTATATGTATTATTTAATATATGCCCCTGTCTGTCTGTGTGTCCGTCCGTCTGTCACCAGACTGTATCTCATGATTCGTGATCGTTAGACAGTTGAAATTTCCACAGATGATGTATTCCTGTTGCCGCTATAACAACAAATACTAAAAAACTGAATAAAAAAATTTCGAGCGGGGCTCCCATACAACAGACATGATTTTATTGCCGTTTTTATAGATAATGGGTACGGGGCATTTTGTGCGCGAGTCCGGCTCGCACTTGGCCGGTTTTTAAATGTAGACAATTGTCCGCAGCCCAGACGTGCATGGACGCGAAACAGGTGCTATACAATGGGCACTGCTACCTCTTCTCCGGCTACCCGAAGGCTTCGTGGGTCACCGCCAAGCAAGTGAGTATTCACTTTTTAACCGACTTCAAAAAAGGAGTAGGTCCTGAATTCGGTTTCTTTTTTTATGTGTGTGTCCTTAGAACTCCTTCGTTTATGAAACTCTTATGGCATTGGTTTCGTCGTTTATGAACCAATTTTAAAAACCCTTGTTTTATCAACTTCCGTGTAGTCTCATATTAATTTGATTGTAATTGGTGACCCAGGGGGTGTGGGTTCGATCCCCACTACTTGAAAAATATTGTGTGAAGAACATAGAGCGTTTTTTCAGTGTCTGGGTGTTTATACATGAATAACATGTATTTATTTACAAAAGGAAAGTATGTTTGCAAGTTATATAGTACCCATAGTACAAGCGTTTTTTAGTTTGGGACTAGAGAATGTTGTGTAAAAATGTCTCCTAAATGTCTATTGTATTTATTACCTTGCCACGCAGTATGGACATGCGTTATCTTTACATAAACCTTGTTCGCGTGTCACACGATCGGCGATCTACGTTTACAGTGAAGGACCACGTCTCGAACATTGCATATTTATTGGAAAATAGTCATTCGTATGTATACAGATCATCCGAAAACTTCAAAAGAATTCGCATCACTTTTATCGGGTTGAATGTGGGAAGAATAATAGCGTGTTTCGACTTTCCGAGGATCAAACCTTCGACCTTATTTACTCTATTGAAGCGGAGCTAATGCCCCCATTGTGCAATCGCCCGCGTTTACGATAGGGTCACTTAGAATCCTCTGACCGCGTCAGATACCCGAACGCCTTAATCCTGCCAAAGTTGAAAGTAAAGATCGGTCGTAAAGAGCGATCATTTTTAGGGTTCCGTACCCAAAGGGTAAAACGGGACCTTATTATTAAGACTCTGCCGTCTGTCTGTCTGTCCGTCACCAGGCTTCATCTCATCAAACGTGATAGTAAGAAAGTCGAAATTTTCACAGATCATGTATTTCTGTTGCCGGTATAACAGCAAATACTAAAAAACAGAATAAAAAATATTTAAGTGGGACTCCCATACAACAGACATGTTTTATTTTTGTTTTTTCATAGAACGGTACGGAAACCTTCGTTTCCGACTCGCACTTGCCGGTTTTATTTTTTCACTCGCATCTTTTTTCTTTTTTTTATGTGTATGTTGCCAAACGAGCAGACGGTTCACCTGATGTTAAGTGAATACCGCCGCCCATGGACATCTGCTACACCCGAGGGTTACAGATGCGTTGACAACCTTTTGAAAATTGGGCTCCGGCTACCTCACTCACCAGACGAGACGCGAAAGTATTTGTCACACTTCCACTTTACGCCGGTCTTCTGTGAGGTCGTGGTACTTACCCGGACGGGCCTGCCCATTCGTGCAACAGCCGAGGCCGCTGCGTGGCCCTACCACCGTTAAATCTGACATACTTTTATCTCTTTATTATTTTTTTGTATTTACCGGAAGATTCGATCACTTTACACCGCTCATGCTCTTTGTCTAATGAAACGGTCATAAATCTCATAAATCGGAAGTTGAAAATCAAAATAAATTGCGATAAAATCCGTAAAAAAGCTTTATTTGGCAGTTTATCTCCATTCTGTATAAATGCAAAAAGTTTTTTATAGATTAAAAAGGTTTTTTGTTTTTTGTTTTTGCTCAAAGTTTTTACGAATTTGTTTTTTATAAATAGTAGTTTCGTGACGACTAGTATGTTTGTATAATCTACTACAAATCTGATTATTTGCATATACATTGTATAAAACAACAAACAAAGTCGTCCCGTCTGTCTGTCTGTCTGCCCGATCTCCCTGTATGCTTAGATCTTTAAATCTAAGCAACGGATTTAGATGCCGTTTTTTTTACTAGATAGAGTGATTCAAGAGGAAGGTTTATATGTGTAATACATTGCACCCGTGTGAAGCCGGGGCGGGTAGCTAGTAATTTATAACTTACAAAAAGCAATTTATGCGCGTCGAACGTCCAAATATTACAGAATAATCTCATCATCAATATACGCCGTAATAACTCAGTGTCCGGACACTCGCTTTTAATTCATACTGAAGTATACTGTAGCAATTTGATTTTACATAGCAATGCCAATGTAATTGTTAATTATTATTAGTTGTTAATAGTTATTGTCTTTCAAATAATGTACCAGGTTTGTGTTCTGATTAGTAGTTATTCTGTTGTTGTCCTTGAATTAATGTACCCGCTTTGTGTTAATCTCATTCTAGTTCGTTAAATACAAATAACATATATAATAACATATACATTTAAATTTTTGGTATGTTATAAAAATCGGTAAATCGTGTAGAGTACATAGCTATGTATTTCATGCCTCAGTTATATATTCTTTTAATTGTTAACATAACTGTGTTTGCAGTTTTTGTTGAAACTAAATAAATATTCATATTCAAATTAAAGTGCTCAATTATCAAGTCCTCTTTGGTGAAGGAAAACATCGTGAGGGCACATTTCCTTAATAGTATAAAACCGACGACTCAATTGGCGCGACTAGATAACGTTGTTTATTATATTAGATGTTGACGACACTTAAGTCAGCCAATCCGGAGTGGATTCACGCGGTTGACTATGCCATAATATCATCTGTACACAAGAGGTCTTTCTCCAGCTGGTGACATCTTTATACTGTTACAGTTTAAGTATTGAGACATTTGGTTAGTACCCGACCGCTTCTACTCTATTGTTCCAGGTCTGCGAGGGTCTGAACATGCACCTATCCTCGGTACACTCGGCCGATGAGGAGCGATTCGTCACAACGGGCATCAGGCAGAGCAGCGACTACAGCGCCGGCTCGGTCTACTGGCTCGGCGCCAGGGTCGATAAGGAGGGGAACTTCAGCTGGCTGGACGCCAACCCGTTCGCGTACCAAGCCTGGCCGCCTTATAACGAGACGGAGGAGATCGAAGAGCCCTGCTTGGGTATCCAGGTGTTTAACGTTACGTTTGTAAAATTTTCATCCCTCGAGTTTTTTTTTTTAATAGCGTTCCATAACAACAATACAATATCACCCTATTGCTGTCCACTGCTGAACGTAAGCCTCCCCCAAAGTGCGTCAACTATCCCGGTTCTAAGCAAACCCGGGTCCATCCGCTGCTCGCCACCGTTCTTAAGTCGTCAGTCCATCTTGCTGCAGGCCGTCCCATACGTTTTCCTAATCGTGGTGTCCACTCTAACACGTGTCGGCTCCAGCAGACCATCACGGGAGCCATGGCCAGCCCACTTCCACTTCAGTGTGCTAATTCTGCGCATCTTCATACGTAACCAATCCTTGATTCTTTCCAATCGTTTTTACGATCTCTAATCTTCTTTTTTCATTGTAACTTTGAGATTTGTGATAATTATTTTGAGCCTTTTCTATCTCACCAACAAATTACTATACTTACTTATTTGCCTCAATCGGCAATATATTTCGGTCTGTGTTTCAATCGATCCGTATCTTTTAATTAGATAATCTAACTGTAAAAGGATAAGCATTGCCTTCTAAATTACATATGATTTAGGTTTCGATAATGATGAACTATTATTATTTATATCACTTACCAAGGTATTATATGAAAAGCAGGAATGAAATTAATACATAATGTTAGATTGAATTATTCGTGAACAAACAGCACATGCTCATGAAGAATTCGTCCAGAAAAATATTATTGAATGAAAGAAAATTGACACAATCCACCATAAAATTATCCTCGTACAACTTACTACGTGCAAAACTTACTATATTGTTGCAAAACTTCGCAGAACATCAAAGTAAATTGATCGAAGAATAATTGACATTACAGCCTCTCTCAGTGCCGTCCCAACCATAAAATGTTCTCCAACTCGCATTACTCAATCAATAAAACAAACTTTAAGGTACCGAGTTTGGGATTTTCTTCAATAATCTTATAAAATATTTATTTTCTCGTCATGGATATTGTGACAATTGGCGGATATTCCCACGTAGCAATAAGAACTTGGATGGATTGCGTAACTTTTATGACAAATGCGACTTAATAAGCTCTTTTTAAAGCAAAATATTTCATAATAATGAATACAAATTTTCCAAAGCAGGAATAAAAGCCGTTGTTTTTTTTTATTGTAATGATTTAAAATAAAATAAATGATCTAATTATGAGAAATTTAAAATTTTTAGTGCTAATCTCTGCACTTAAGATTAAATATTAAACGTTCGATTCCCACAGCGGCGACAACCTTTTCGTACTATTAATAAAATAGTAAAACATTGAAATTTGTAAAGGATAGAGAGGAAGGTTGAACAAATAAGAGCGGTATAAGATAAGAAGAAATTAAATCAGCTCCCTGAAAGAGCTTTTCTCCACCGACACATTTAGCCGTCTTAGAATTGCCTAAACTAATCTAGAATGTATTAAGAGAACACTGATTTTAATCGAATCGAATTTTCTAAATTGCTTTACTCACCATGCCTCCCATAAGGGTCTGATTAAAATTATTAAGTCGTGTAGCTTTTTACTGAGAAGTCTAAAGTGTTATTAGATGTCTGACTCTAAGTTTTATTAGATTCCATCTACGCTATTTAAGACTTTAAAATACGATTTATTTATCGCTTTAGCAACTATCCAACGATGACATTTGTAGATTATTTTATAAATATTTAAAAAAATAAAGAGTAAAAATATTATTAAAAAATTTCAACGTGTGATCACTCTTTTAAAACTTTTAAATCCTGTTATTGATACACTAAAAATGGTTTCTTATTCGTGGATATTTTTTTATTTATTGATACGAATAAGACAATCTTAGGAGTTTATTGGAGGTGGATATATATATGTTGATTTGATACACTGAAACTTGAAATTTATTCCAACATGGCTTTCCAGGGCCAGGTAGTAGTAGTGGCCAATAGTGGCATGCGATATACCACTAGTACCCTACCCTGGGGAAGGCAACCTTTTACTTGGGGAAATGAGAAACATAGTCTCGTACACACAACATTTAAAACACGTCTAAAGCTTATTACAAACGATGCATTTTCGTTATTCCCCTATTGCAGTGGAAAACTTCACCAGTGCCCTCCCAACCCAGCGGTCTCTACTGGACTCTACACAAATGCGCTCTCACTGGGGGCTACGTGTGCAAGCGCCGACTCCACGCTGTGCACATTGCTAGGAACAGAACTATTGAAGGGAACTCAGGTAATTTCTTTGCTAGTCCCTCAGCCAGGAGGATAAAGTCTGGGGACTATCGTGGATAGAGCGATAGACGAATTGCTTTTTCAGAAACAGCTTAGTATGTTTAGATATGTATGTTACTATAGTGGTACGAGAGCTATCAACGTCGGGAAAACAAGAATTTCAGGTAGGCCAGTTTTTAGATATGCTATTGAGTGAGAGAGACTGACTCTGCCGAACGTCATACAGGCAATTTGGTTGGTGGTAGATTATGCGTTCATCATGACGTCCGGGAGAGTGAAAAACTGGCCTCCGTGAAATTCTCTCTCAAAAACGTTGCTAGGTCTTAGACTATAGATACTGAGTTGCAATTTGCTATTATATCGAGCCTTGTTACTTGAATATAAGACAGAATTTTCGCCCGGGAAACTAGTTGTTTCTTTAAGCGTTTTCTAGAGCTATATATGCGTTAAAAGTACACAGAAGGCTATCACTGAATTTACTCGCTATGTCTGAAAGTTTAGGTACCCGGGTGAATGATCGTGGGTAACAAAAGAGAAACTCAAGTTTGGCATAATATTATCTAAGAAGAGAAAGTTGTTTGTGCACGCCACTAGAATTTTAAGATTTTTTCGTACTATTTGCAATATTTGTTGTACAATCGACGAACAAAGCGAGAAAGTTATATGCTTAAGTGAATATTCCGCAGGCGATCTAACGAGTCCCAATCACCCGGCCTTGTATGACAACGACCTCGACTACTGGATCCATATTTCTGGCCCGGTGGACACCAGACTTGTCTTCGTCTTCCACACCATCGACCTTGAGTACCAGAATGACTGTCTCTACGATTTCGTCGAGGTAGGTATATCCTTACTTCCTTACTAATATTATAAAGGCGAAAGTTTGTTTGTATGGATGGATGTTTGTTACTCTTTCACACAAAAACTACTGAATGGATTTTAATGAAACTTTACAATAATATAACTAATACATCAGAATAATACATAGGCTATAATTATTTAAGACATTATGTGATTTATCCAAAATATAACAATAAGTGTCAAGTAAGTAGGAAAAAATTCTGACATCTGCAAGCTATTCTGGTGTTTAATAAAAAAACTCATTGTTAATTACCTTTGACTACGCGGGCGAAGCCGCGTTTAACAGCTAGTCTGAAATAAAATTAAATCAAGAAGTTTTAGTCAATAATACATTATGTACATTACTGATCTCATCCCGAAACAAGTCTTTGGGTGACCTTTGTAATCTGTGAAATTAATAAATGTGAGTCTTAAAGTCTTAATACTAAATAAAACTTCAGCTTAAAAAGGGATGATATTTTAATATACCTACTGCAAAGCTTATGATAAAAGTTTTATTTTATACAATTTTCTGTATTTGACAATACTTAAATTTAAATCAGATTCCATTTCGTATTGTACTTTTATCTCACGGTGGGATTATAATTTATTATAAGTTTTTTTTTTGTACTTAAAAAGAACATTTGTACGAGGTACTAAAATGACTAACCAATTAATTTTTCAGTTGAGGGATGTCTTCAGTACAAAAACGTCGCGATACTGCGGCTCCGTGGGAGAGACCAGATGGGTCGCCACGGGAAACGAAGCGATATTACACTTCCACACCGATTACAGGTAACTGTTTTAAAAGACGCATATATATATACGAGTAGCTTATTGGGCGGAAAGAAAAAAGTAAATATCTGAAACTGAAAATCACATTAACTACGATGTACTTAGCAAGCGAGCAGAGCGTCGCAGAACCAAGTTTACCACTATCCATCGTAATGTACAAGCCTCAAAACTTAAAAATGTTCAGATAAAACTGTTCACAAATACGCCACCCTCAGGGTCGGAACCATCAGGATTACGCGTCCAGACACTATAGCCACTAAGCTCAGCGGTCGCGTCCTCACCGCCCCCAAATCTCGACGTCTCATACACCACTTTTCTATTGCATTTACGAATTTTACATTTACGTATATATAGCTTATTAGGACGAAAGAAAAAAGTATATCCCCAGTATCTGAAACCGAAAGTCACATAGACTACTTAGATTACTAACCACTATCCATCGAAATGTACAACACATGTATGGTTACAGATGCGTTGCCATTCTTAAGAGTAAGCCAGATAAAACGCAAAACTATAATACTCACTGCCAAGTCTTCTTTTGTGGGCCGTGTTACTTCCCCGGGACACGCATCTGCAGGAGTTGCAACGCGACCTACTACAGTAGAAAAAAACCAGTAGAATTATATTATTTATTTTACTTTATGCACAAAAAACATGTACGGAGGCGGACTTAATGCCGACATTATCTATCAGTCAACCTTTGGGTGGTCAAGTAATTACTATCTTTTTAATTTAATTCAATTTAGCACTCAAGGGTCTGGTTTCTTCTTGACGTGGCGAGCGGTGGAACTAGCTGGCTGTCCGTCCCAGACCTTCACCTCCAAGGAGGGCGTCCTGCAGAGCCCAAACTACCCGAACTTTCTGCTGCCAGGGCTGGATTGCACCATCGACATTCTGGCCCCACCAGGTTTGTTTCCGTGCTCTAACAAAACGCCTTATCCCTTAATTTTTTATTCTTTTTTTTAGCCTACTATTGCGTAATGTGCATGTCAGTCCCATCCTGCCCTCGTCTTAGGTTATTTACAACTATCACTTATTTCTAATACACATTTTAAACATAAAAACTTTAGCCATAAATTCAAAAACTAATTTTGCATTGTCACTATTTGGGTGGCATAACAAAGAATGAAAAAAGCCTTCATTATATTTACTTAAGCTCATGTCTTTTATCAAATTGTTCCTGTTATATTCATTTCTTACACATTCCATCAACCGGTGATGAAGGTCTTCACTGACTCCACAGATCGCTTATTTGTTTTTGCCGTAAACGACAATCCCGGTGGTATATGGTCAGTGGCTCCAACAGTGCTCATATCTCGCATTCAGAGTAATAACGCAAAAGTAAAACATTAGACATGCACATTTTATACCGCGATAATGGTCACAAAAGAAATATAGTGGCAGAGAAAAGTAATGAAATAGCACAAAACACGACTCAAGCGTCATGCACGAAGTTGAATATCTTCAATATAAGCTTTTAAATTCTTACTTCGTTGAAGAGTGTATTTGCATCCTTTCGAAGACATCTATCAAACGATATATTTTAAACATTTTTGGTTCATATGTTATTTTTTTTAAAAACATTGCCCTTACTGTAGAATAACATTATCCTAATTCTTAAGGACGTTTTACATGCATAAATTTCACACAATTAGTAGCACCAATGAAATTGTCAATTTTAAGTGCTGAATTATCACGTGCTCGGCGGTGAAGGAAAACATCGTGAGGAAACCTGCATATTTTATTTAGAAATAATAACAAAAAAACTCGAAAACATGTGAGGTCCGCCAATCCGCAGTGGGGTCGCGTGGTGGACTATGACAGGACTAGGACCCTGACACCCATTTCACAGAGGAGGCCTCTGCCCAGCAGTGGGACATGTATGGGCTGTAACTTCACTTTCTTTTTACTTTCTTCGCAGGGAAGCGTGTGTTCCTCAACATCAGCCACTTTGACTTCGGCTACGGCTCGTTCGAGGGCGGCGTCCCCGTCAACGTGACCGACGCCGTCCCCGAGGACACCTTCCTCGAGGTGCAGGTCGACCTCGAGAGCGTCCCCATACGGCCGTTCGTCGACGCGAGGATCCTGACCGGCGGGCTGTTCGTCTCGCGTTCGGAAATCATGCGGCTGCGGCTGAGGTCCGGAGAAAACGTCACCGGCGCCGGTTTCCTCGCACACTTCAAGACCGGTTAGTAGTCATTAGTCCAGTTAAAATTAATGACGTTTGACTCGTGCTAGATTAAACGAAGTCGTTATGGCGAAAATACTTTCGCGTTTCGTCTGGTGAGTGAGGTAGTCGGAGCCCAATTTTCAAAAGGTTGTCAACGCATCTGTAACCCTCGGTTGTGGCAGATGTCCATGGGCGGCGGTATTCACTTAACGTCAGGTGAACCGTGTGCTTGTTTGACAATTTTTCGCATAAAAAAAAATAGTATATAGTCTTCTTTTTAATAAATAAAAATGAATGTTGGTAAACGCGTAACTCAAGAGTGGCTGAACCAATTCGTCTAATTTTTTTTTTGTATGTTCCTTAAGGTCCACGGAAGGTTTTAACACTATAAAAAAAAAAATAACGAAGTCTGTCCGGGCAGCTAGTTTCTAATAAAAACAGTATAGGAATATAAGGTCATCCTAAGGTCAAAACGTTTTTATAGCGCTGAAGTTAAGGAATCGATATCTTCATTGATATACACAACGATTTCAACACCCCGTTTTCCATTGAGAAAATTTTACGTGATGACGATTAATAAGACTGCTGAGAAATCACAAAAAGATTGACTAACTACGAGAACTAGTTGTTTAATATTTTTGACATTTCTTTTGTTTACAACATTAGTATGTAAATTAGTTACGAATGTAATTTTGGGTTAAATTTATTATTTATAACTTTACTGTCACATTTAGCTCAGGGCTACAATAGGCGGATTCAATACCTAATGGCATTCTCTACCATTCCCTTGTCATTGGTTAGAAGTAGACGGCATTAAATTCATACGCCATTCCATTTTTCAATACAATTTTTATTTTACGTAAGAAGTATGTGAGCTAGCGGTTCGGCATCGATGATAACCGCCGCCCATGGACATTTTCAACACCGGCATACAAATGTGTGAATAACTCACGCAGGACTTCGGTAGGTTGTGGTACTTCCCCGGACGGACCTGCCGTTCGTGCAAGACCGCGTGGCCCTACCACAGTAACTACAATATCTTTCCCTTAGGCATTTACCTAGGCGGGCGCGACAAACACCCTTAATACTACCTGTAATAAGTGTTTTACATTATTTTCTGCGGCGTGGCTGCCACCGTAACTAGTTTGTATTTTTTTTCGAAACTAGCGGGAGGCTCTGATGGTAAGTGATTACCGCCGCCCATGAACACCTGCAACAGCCGAGGGCTCACAAATGCGTTGGCGGCCTTTTTAGAAAGAGTATGCTCTCTTCTTGAAGGTTCCCAGGTGGTAACGTTCCCTTACGCATTTACCTACTTCTTCTTCTTCTTCTTGCTCGGTCCCTCAATTCTGAGGATCGAGACTACATGTTGTTTTCTTCCATTGCGTGCGTTCGTAGGCGGTGTGAACAGCGCATTGCATGCTGCCACCCACCGCGTTCTTCAATGTTAGCCCACCTTGTCGGTGCCCTACCTTGAACGCGTCTGCCGTTAATACTGGCCTATAATGATCACTACTATATATCATTATTATTCACCTACGTGGGGAACCAGTGACAGATTTGTAGTCTTGGCCGCCCTAAGCCCCATCCCATGTAGTAAGTTCCAGCCGCCCCTTTCTCAGCACCCGTCATGCGTGTTATCATCAGTGATTTTTTGTTACGATTGGCCGCCCCTAATATGTGGCCGCTCTGAGCCCGGCCTATTGGGCCTTAGGGCAAATCCGCCACTGCGGGTAAAAAATATCCTCAAATGATAATATCGTGTCTTATCCAGTGAACTTCCTGAATCTAACGCACTCGGTGGAGCTGGGGCACTTGCGCGCGGGCAGACTGTCGGCGCCCAACTGGCCGGCGTCGCCGCCGCTTCGCGCCAAAATCTCGACGCGGGTGATGGCGCCGCACGGGAACACGCTGTCCGCGGCGTTCGCCGGGACGCGACTGGTCGCCCCCCCGCCCCCCATCTGGCCCTGCGGCGAGGGCAGGGGCTGGATCGAGGTAAGCTCTTTATGTTTTAGCAAAAGCGCTTTAACGCTAATGTGCTCCTGGTACAGGTTTTGTCCAGAAATAATAAAAGGAAGAATAAAGAAACTCTTAGGAATATCCCTTCGACTAGTGACGTCACCTCCGTCGACTCCTTAACGCATAAAACTATATATCTAAAGAACTTAATTTTCCATTGGAATAAATAAATGTTGAACCTTATTTGTGTTAATTTGTAAATAATAATGTTGACACGTTTGGCGATGTCTTCGAATCTTCGTATTTGACGAAAATGATCGACGGGATAAACCCAAAGTAGCCAGCCAAAATACAAACGATATGAAAAGTGGTTTTCGTCATTAAGAAGAATCGTTATTTTTAATAAAATCATCTTCATCAGCTACTAAATTCAATTGTCTCGTGTGCAATTAATGTAAGTAATGATGAAAATAAACCGTCAGGTCCGTGACAGCTATACGGACAACAACGGCACGGAGTGGACGCTGTGCGAGGTCGGCAGGGCCCGAAGAAAGATTGAGAGCACCGCACCGCTGGTCATCAACTCTTACCTACACTCCCTAATGGTGACGCAACACGCCGGTGAACTTGGTGTTAGCATAGATGTCTCGCTGATAGTGAATAAAGGTGTATAATATTTATATCGTGTTAGCGAAACTCTTTCTATACCTAATTATACAAATCTGTGATGTATAGCCCTTCACATTCTCCATTTTCTTCCCTTTCTTTCTGTCTAATAGTAATTAATGGAACGAGAGAATGTTTATTCGGCATATTAAATTACAAAACAAGAACAACATCCCGCCAATATAGTCTCCACTCAGTTTAAAGGCGCGTCAAACTTATAATTTATAATATTTACAGATATTCCTTCTTTTTTTTTTAATAAGTGTCAACAAAAAGCTAACTCGTGACAGGCGATGACCCTTAGGTAATATTAACGCAAAGTCTGATCTTGACCTCATTTTTCACGCTTCCTCAGATCCAAATTATCACAACAAACTGCTACTGATCCCCGACGAAACGAACCTCGAATCGTGTTATCCAAACCCCTGTTTGAATGGAGGCCGTTGCGCGACGGACGACACAAAAAACTTCTGCCAATGCGTGGGATACTACACTGGTGAGTGAATTTAATATGGCAACTCTTTTCCTCCTGCCCTCTTTCTTGAGGAATTGCATTGTTGAGCAAGTTGCACACAAATAGTTGTCACGTGTGGCGAACTCACAACCCCCCGCCAATCCTCAAACATATCAATAAAATTTCTAATCTCCTCACTTTATCTAATCAACGATTAAAGATAATAAACCTATAGTAGTTGGGGAAGAAAGGTTCTCGAGTGGCAGCTTCTTACTAGCCATCGCAGTGTGGGACGACCCCCCACTAGATGGAGTGACGACCTGTGCAAGTGTGCGGGAAGTCGATGGATGCAGGTGGCTCGGGATCATACTTCGTGGCAGTCTGTGGGGGAGGCCTATGTTCAGCAGTGGACTCAAACAGGCTGAAATGATGATGATGAACCTACAGTAAAAAATATCAATTGCACATAGACCGCTGATTCCGATAACAATTTATACTCATTACATAACAATATCTACTCAATCAGCAATCAATTGTAATCAAAACTGGGTAAACACCACCTCAACCCAAACACAAGTTATCAAAGGCAACAGGTATACCGTCAGCGTCGTTAGCATGTTAATACATTCACTAAAGGCTTAAAAAATATAACAGTGCGTGGAGGCCCACCGCGCGGAAAAAATAAAACTTCGAGTCCCATGCACTATCGCTTTGTCTCTTTCTATTCCCCGTTCCCCGGAGTGTTGAACTTTTAATGCAACAGTGCTTTCATAGCCCCTCCATGGTGGCGTTAAACGTTTAACGTAACCTTGTGCGAATTCGCATTAGAAGTTTCACTTCATAAACCCCGGCTAAGGTATTAGCAACTGCGCCACGGGTCATATCTATTTGAGTCCGTCCGTTTAACGCAACCTTGTTGGAAGTGGCATTAAGAGTTCCACTTCAAAACCCCCAACTAAGGTATTAGCACCTGCGCCACGGAGTCCTATCTATCCGAGTCCGTCCGACCCCGCAGGCGCGTTCTGCCTGCTGACCGCGTGCGAGCGCTCACCGTGTGCGTTCGGCAACTGCTCACTGGTGGCGGGCGGCGGGGCGGGCGAGGCGTTTGTGTGCGCGTGCGCGCGCGGCTGGCGCGGCCGCCGCTGCGCTGAGCGCGTACGTCCCTGCGCCGCGCGCCCCTGCAACCACCGCGGCGCGTGCGTCGAGCGAGACGGCGGCTTCCTCTGCCAGTGCAACCCCTCGTGGAAGGGCAAACGGTACGCCGCCCTCTGCCAGTGCAACCCCTCCTGGAGGGGCAAACGGTACATCTCCCTCGGCCAGTGCAACCCCTCGTGGAATGGCAAACGGCACACCTCCCTCTGCCAGTGCAACTCCTAGTGGAAGGGCAAATGGTACGCCCGGACCCGTCGTTTTTTCTTTTTTTACAAAATAACATCGCCCTTACTTTGAGATAACGTTATCCTATGTTAAATATTAAAATTTGTAAAAAGGAGGAGGTGTCGCCGCTGTGAATCGAACCCACGCCTTTTTTTATGTGACAAAGTGGCAAACGAGCTGGCGGTTCACCTGATGTTAAGTGATAACCGCCCATGGACATTTGCAGCACCTGTAGTGTTGCAGATGCGTTGCCACCTTTTAATAAGTGACGAAACGCAGAAGTGTTACACTCCTACTTCATGCCGGTCTTCTGTGAGTGTCGTGGTACTCACCCAAACGGACCTGCCCATTCGTGCAACAGGGAACACCGTTGCGTGGTCCTGCCACAATTAGAGACAACTTAATTAACTAACGACCGTTTAACTTAGTGGCTAAAGCATCAGAGCGCGTATTCTGAAGACAGCGTATCGCAGTGGATTTTTCCGATATTCAATCTACAGATAGAGTTGGTTACTGCCGATAAGTATTTGACATTAGGTCCATAATACTTACGTCAAAATTCTATCTCCAGTTACCAAATCTATCTATAGATTGAATATATGACACTTAAGCGTAAGTGAAAAAGACATCTCACTCTGGAAACAAATTAAAAACAAAATAAAACAAATTATTAAAACAGAAGGTGCAATAATGGTTTTCAATAAAAAACAGCAATTATACACCTTCGAAGAAGTTCAATTTATTATTTTATGTTCAACTAGCTTTTCGCCCGCGGCTTCGCTCTCGCGTTGAAGTCTTTAAATAAATATCTATATTTTTATAGAAACATATTTTCAACCCTTTAAAACGATTTTTTCTAATTAAAAAATAGCCATGTCCTTTCTCAGGCTCTAGACTATCTGTGTACTAAATTTCATTTAAATCGGTTCAATAGTTTTGGCGTGAAAGTGTGACAGATAGACAGACACGGCTACTTTCGCATTTATAATATTAGTATGGATTTTTCTCACCACATAGAATTCTCCGCCCGACCGGATGTAAAGTAAAGACAAGACGTCCCAATTGGGACGTTGGCTTCACTTCGGATGTGTTAGCAACATTTAATATTATTGTAATATATCATGGTACGCAATGATAGCATCCAATCGCCGCGCCCACAGGTGCGAGATACCGAACCCTTCACCGAACATCGTGGGTCTCGGTACGAGGATGCTGCATGAGCCCTTTTGGCTGGGACTCATAGCAGTATTCGTGGTCCTGGGCATCATCGGCCTGGTCTGGTGCGCGAAAAGACACTTCCCCGAGAAGATTGAGAAGCTGCTCGCCGAAGAGGCGGACAGATGCGCAAGACGTAAGTCGCAGCAACACAGTAATTCGTTGGAGGGCAAATCTTTAGGTCGCAATCTAAATCCAGAATTCGAAAATAACGATGGACTCGTCCTATCGATAATTATTCAAGACACACTTACGAGTTATGAACGCTTTTCTATTTTCAAACTGTAGCTTTTTGAAGACGCTAGGAAACAAAGCATACACGTGTCTCACCGTAATGCCTCATTTACTTTATTTCGCTGTACCCATGCATTTTCTGAACAACGCACTGTACCGAGGATGGTAAGGACACGTATTTACTATTATTTTTCTTCTCTGCCAGTTGCCACGCCTTGCGGACACAGAAACGGACATTATTAAAACTCTTTTTTGATAATATTACTTTTAAACTTTTTAAATATTTCTAGGCCGAATTTCTAGCCTTTTTTTAAGTATAAAAAATAATAGACCAATTTTAAAATTACCAAAAAAAACTTTTGTAACAGCTATCTTCATGTCTATATATAGGAAGTTCTGTTTTATTTAATACACTTATATTGTAGTATAAATTAAATATTATTTTTGATATTATAAAACTGTTAAAATAGCCATCTGTCATTAACGAGAATAAAGTATTTTTTTAAAACCACGCTGTACACGCTCTATCGGTCACAGAAACATATTATATTTGGTGAAGGCATAATGTGTAATTTTAATATATTATTCCCTTTATTTCTCACACTTGAATTGAATTTTGATCCATATAAATGTATGAGCGTGGGTGGGACTTCCCCGCTGTGATGGCAGCGTCCATTAGGGCTTCAAAAACTACCAAAGTCATCGGCTGTGTCCCGACATGGCAACGTTATATCTGTGGGGCTAGCGACGCGCGGCGGCCGGCAGCGGTACGCCGCGGTGCCGCAAGCGGAGCACTAGCGGGTTGCGCCGCGTTCGCGACGCGGTGCCCGCGACGCGACGTTCGCGACGCGCTGTTTGCGACGCGACGTTCGCGGCGCGGCGTTTGCGACGCGCTGTTTGCGACGCGACGTTCGCGACGCGGCGCTTGTGACGGGGCGTTTGTCCACAGCGACGGCGCCGCGCGGCGAGCCGCCGCCGCACCGCACACTGCTAACGCGGCTGGGTATTCGCAAGCCGTCCGTGTCGGGACTCGCGACGCACCCGCGAGCTGCCCGCACCTTTAGTTTGGACGATCTGTTAAAGCCGCCCCACGGACGTAAGGAGTGGAGCGCCGGGACGCCGCAACGCCCCGCCCGCGCACTCCGCACCGCCTGCCCCCTTGTCACATCACCCTCACAGCGTTCTTTTTTCGAGATCTCAATTATGCGTTCGGTTTCGGTTCTGTTCACATCACAGTCGCTTGTTGTTAAATTTGTTCTGTGTTCTGAAAGTAAAATGATAATCGTAAAATTTTTAAAAGAATTATTACAAGTACTTACATTTTTATTACCTCTTTTTACGTTATTATTTATTATTCTTCATGTTACATTGACATCCCATATTTCATAATATTTTTTAAACTTTAATATATTTATTAATTTAGCCAAGTCTGAAGAAAACTTTAATCTGAAATGGTTTTTTTTTTTTTTACTTTTGGCTAAATTAGGTAATATTTCTCACCTCATTAAAAAAAGTTATTTTAACATTGGACTCGATTTAAATCAATTATTTTCTACAATTCGACTTTGTGAAGAGTCAATCATTCGCCAACATTGGATCAAACATTGCGGAGCGCGCGGTGCACTGGGGCTCTAGTGTCTGTTTGTACGCCCGCTACCTGAATGACTTGATGTGGAATGCCATAAACCTACAGAGGCCTTTCGATGTGTGCACTTTTCTCTTTGCACTAACACTAAAGCATCTCCTACGTAGTCGCTCCTTCCTTCGTTAGCACCTTTGTAGATCGTCCAAATTCTCCTTCCAGAGATTACATTGTCAATTTTTGCTGTGTCGGCTTTGGATGCTTCGGTTATTTTATTGCTTTATTTTTCAACTATACTTCCGTTTTAGCTCAGTTCTATCAATTTGACAATATAACGTCTGGATTGTTGTTCAATATGTATATGCTTTAGCATGCTTCTGGACATGGCTCTGCTTTTACACGAAATACTAATGCACTACAAAATAAAAATACATCAACTCCAACTGTTTGTGAAAATTAAATTGTTCAAGCAAAGCTTTATCCAATGCCATAGCTTAGCAATCAACAGGGAATAATTAATACATGAACCAAAACCTTTAATACTAGAGAAGTAAAAACAATTTCATTTTATCATATCGTCTGTGTTCAGATTTGTTCATTTTCTTTTTGTGAAACAAACACAAACAATCAAACACTCTACAAACAATACCACAAAGTCTGATTGGCACATGAATTCGAATTTGACTATGTTCTATCTAAAGGCACTAATCCTAAAGAATTGGCTTCCATTAGATGCACCAAACCCTTGTTGATGATATCCAAGGCATGTTATTTTTACCTTTTACATTAATGTTCAAATTTCTTTTGACGATACTCTGATAATCTGTAGTGTTGTCATTGACTTTCGGTGTTGTATCGAACGCTTCTATAGTAAACCGGAGCTTTATTATATGTGTATTTGTACATGGCGACATTCCGTACAGGCTCTCCATCGCCGCGAAAGAAACGCAACAACTCGACGCCGACGAAGAAGAACGCGGCCGAGAAGAAGCAAATCCTGCAACAGCTGATTAGCCCCGCGTCGGCAAACGATCACTCGAAGAAGATAACGATGGGGGAACTGATACAGATGTCCGAAAAACGCACCCTAAGCACGGTGGAGAGCGCACCGGCGTTCGTTGAATACGGCGTTGAGAACAAGGAATCGTCTTTCGCCAGCGAGGGTTCGACGCCGTCGACGTCGCCCTCCACGCGTCACATATCCGATCCAAAATTGGAGAAGAAGGTCACATTCGCCAGATTAATGAACAAAGTGTCGGCAGAAATGAGCTCCAGCTCCGACGTGGACATGGTGAACACGATCGCGATCCCAATGGCGGTCATAGCGGACAGGACGGTGAAAACTAAAGCGTCCAGCACCCCGCCGTCGCCAGGAGTCGAAGTGAGATCACCGCACAGCACGTCCAGCAATCAAGGGAGCGACTCAATGTCCAGCTTGGATTTAACATTGGCTCACGCAGCCTTAAAAAAGTATTCGAGGTAATATACCGTTATACCGTTTTTTTATGTCAGTTTAAATGTCATATACTTCAGGTATTTGCATAACGACCTTATATGATTAACTTTTATCCGCGGCTGCTTCTTTCATTACAAATACAAAGGTACAGTACAAAGGTTGTGGTGTGAAAAGAGAACATACTCATATGTTTACATGTGTTATGTGTGAACTTATACTGTAGTAGTGCCACGCAACTTCTATTGAGCAACAGCTGTTGCTTGAATAGGCAGGCTTGTCCAGAGAAATACCATGGCGTCACAGAAGACTAGCGTAAAGTGGAAGTTTTATAATTTCGCGTTTCGTCTGGTGAGTGAAGTAACCAGGGCCTGACTTTAAAAAAAATGTCAATGCATCTAGCAAGCCCTCAGGTTTTATAGATCTTTATGAACGGCGTTATTCACTTAACACCAGGTGAACCACCTGCTCCCTTAACAACTTTTCACATAAAAAAGAAAAAAACAATACAATATATTAGTCAAGTTTTAAAATATATTACAGGACCCCGAAAATTTCAAGCGCGGACTCGATACTCGCAATGTTTCGCAACTTCTCTTCTTCATCAGCGGCTATGGTGTCTAGGGCTTCGTCCGGAGGTATATCAGCGTCGAGCACTCCAACGGCATCTTCTCCACAAGATGACACCGTAGACGACGATGTGTCACTAGCGTCATCACACATACCGTCACTGGCACCAGACTCTCCGGTCGCTAGGCCACACAACACTATCGAGATACAGGTAAAAGAACTAAATGTACATCAAATAATAATAATTTGATACATTAACAATGAAGATACAGATTATATCATATATTAGTATACTCAAAACTGACTTATAATTTAACTGAAATATTTCAGGTCCTTGATCCACTCAGTGCACACAAATCAACGGCCTCTGGAAGCAACCTCCTTCACCCACCCTCAATTCTCCTCGAAGTTCCGAGTAGCATAAATAAATGTCTGTCCCCCATAAGAGAGCTGCCAACTCCATTGCCAACACCCCTGCCTACACCCTTAGCTACACCCTTACCCTCGCCCCGAATGCCAAGGCTGAAGATGGATGCCGATATCATAGACGAATCAGCAGCTTGCCTCTCGCCTAGCGAAGATGAGCTGGATGAAATCAAAACAGAGAAAACTGAGAGACCCACTGCCGGTTTGAGGCTAAAGGTAGTTAATATAAAAAAGGATACTTTATATACACCATTACTGATACTGATGACATTACTGAATGGTATGACATAGCTTAAGTAAATTTATTGTGTCATAAATATTGATTTAAACCAAGAAGAATCTGATATTGTCTACTGTATCTCACTACTTCCGTCTTAGTTGTTGCATTTTATACTGCCAGAGTTTACCATATTAATTGACGATGCAAAGAAATTCAATAGGTCTATTTTCTTTCTTTAATTAGTTTAAATCGTTTCCTTTTCAGCTACGCCAACCAGCACTTAGTATAGATACGCCAACGCCGTCCACCCACGTGACGGATTCGCCAAGTCCCAGCTTCACCCAGAGTCAGGATTCTGAAAGAGAGATGTCCTCCCCATCTCCCGCGCCGCCAACATTGCGAGTTCCCGTGCTAACTATAGAGCGCCCTTCACCGGGCTCACCGCCGCCGAGACGGACCCCGCCACATCTAGAATTTCAGCCACCCCCATTAATAACGGTCACTTACAATGCGAGCGAGGAGTCCGATGAACCGTTATCACCAAGGCCACCGCCGCCCTCCGCGAACATGTGCTACTTGAGTCCGTTCTCCATGTCTGCCAGGGGAGAGAGAGCCCCGTCGGAGTCGAACTTGTCCTCTTCTGGATATAGCTCAATGGCCAGCCCGGGCCCGTCTAGGTGCGGTTCAAGTAATCCCCTGTGCCCGTCCGAAATGGAGGACCCGGGGTCCGGCGGTGGTCCGTCGTGTTTCCAAAGAAGGCGACCGCTAATGAAGACCAACTCCAGCCCAGCCAGCTCCAATAACGACACGAACGAAAGGCGACGCGGCAGATCTGATTCGGAGACACTTTCCGACGACCCATTGCTGGAATCCAACGACGAAGGCATCGGGACCGACGAGAGGGTCGACGATGTGCCGTCGAGCGCTAAAGAGATGGAAACCTTGGCGATATTGAAGGAGACGCTCGAGATACCGCAAATCTGCTCGCCGAGCGGCGTAACGAAATGCTCGATAGTGAAGTGTATAAGCGTTGAGCGGGGGTTGGACGAGAGGGCTTGCTTGAAGCCACCCATGCTGCTGTCAGACGGTAGTCGACCGTTGAGCCCAGTAAGTTCAAGAAGCGAGAGCCCTCTAAGCGACAAGACCGGCTTGGGACGATTCTCACCGCAATTCTACGGGCGACAGCTGCCGTTCACGGACTCCGACGGCCTATACGACTTCCCAAGTTCTGAGTGCGTGAAGGGAGGTAGCTGCAGAGCGGGAAATAACTCGCACAGAAAAGCGGGCAGGAGAAGAGACAGGCGAGCGAGCAGGACCGTTTCACACGACGCTTCGGGAACGACCAAGACAACACTCCCGCATATGCCACATTCAATGCACAACTTGCTAGAGGTAGGCATTAAATTCATGATATATTTATATAATCTCTCAAACACATCTGCCGTGCGTTGTCAACGGCCTTTCGTTTCGCTTAGGAATTTTGATAAAATGCCTTCGACACGGACATTTGCTGACAGGCTGAGGGTGTGACGGAAAGTCTTCAATACTCTACAGCGGCTACAAAATATAACGTAACGGACTCTCCAATCACAATCTTGTCATCCTTGTCTGTCACATCAAGCACGGCACCCTCAAAGACCTCCTAGATCTAATCAAGCTGCCTATCGTACCATTTTTACCGTGCCACTCATTAGGTGCCATGTTCCAACCGCGGCCGGAAGGTCGGCAGGCGACGGTCGCGGTCCCAGGCCCCGGCGCTTGCGTCCTCGTCGTCGTCAGAGGACTCCGTTTCCAACGCTTCGGTGGCGTCGATCGCTTCGGCGCGAGAGCTCAGGCTGCCGCCCGACGTCGAGCTGCAGGTAGGGTGTCCAGTATTCAAATCGCTCGGAGATATTTGAATCGAAAAGCCCAACGATATTGTATACACATATGGGGTGGATATGACACTAGCGCACTGAAAAGGAGGCACTCAAAATACGCAAATTGGTGTAATTTGAGTAAACTCTTTCCGTATCATATGTTCTATATCATCTGTCACATTCACTTATACATGTAAACCTTAACAATTTATTTACGCCGCGCAGTATGAATATGCGCCATCTTTGTTAAAAGTTTTTTTTATGTGAAAAGTTGCCAAGCGAGGTTCACCTGGTGGTTCATCATTGCAAAAAGCCATTGTTTTGCATTTGTTACAACGAAATACTCATCTGCCCTATGCGCAATACGAGTTATATTGTACGCAATAAGAGTAGTATGAGCACCGGTGGCAGAACACAACTTGAGCATTTTTGTCTTTTAATAAGCACTTCAATTCTAGGGATACAGATATGTCATTATTCAACTCTACCTTATAACCGCTTATTCTTCAAGGGCCTCAGTACTCTTTGCAATTTAATAACAATATGTAACGTTTAATATTTACTTAAATTATTTTTCATCTGTCTCATTGAAAATGTAATGTGAACACATTTTATTTGTTTTTCGTGATAACGCTACGACAAATTCGACATAATTTGAATTTAGAATTAAAAATATATTATGTAGTATATCATCATCATCTTCACTACCTTCCTCGTTGGGATTAACACATGTGAATCTAGTTATTAGTTAAATTATGACTAACTTTTTCCGCTCCTGACGTTTCCGCTCCTGTCGTCCGCACAAATATTTGTACCGTTGTTGGAATCGAACCCCGGCACCGAAGCCAATCCATCAACTGTGCCACTTACTTATCAATTCCTATGTTATATAGCTGATATCGTAATGATATGTAAAGAATTATTTTCTCGTAGTTATTATATGTAATTTTTACTTTTCGCTAAAATCACCCAAATAATTACTACCAAATAATATTAAAACGGAACAAAAGCACATGAAATATTTTAGCTCTATAAACAGAACTAATATTTACGCATGATTTGATGCTCACATAAATATGTAAACAATAATAATGCACTTTATAACATTAAACGTTAAGACTATTCGCAAACCGCAACATATCGAGATTATAAAGATTTGTAATGAATGTTTTTTACATTTGATCGATTTGTTAGATTTATAATTTGTGATAACATTGAACATTTTTCGCATTCAATTTACTTAATTTTTCTTTATATAAAGAGGTTTATGAATGGTCCAATAAATTTTGTACATATTCCTGCACAGTATTATGTGTTAATATTTTGGCTTCTTATATTGTTTTCGGCCACTTTTCGGTTTGTTTGCAGCCATCTGAGCCCCGCCCCAGGAAACCTCTGCGGAGACAAAAGTGTCGTAGTTCGGAGGTGATGGTACATAAAGCAACACAATGTTGACGTTTGATTTCTGCACGATAGCTAGTTTTCATTTTATAACCTTTTTAAACTAGGTAGGCCAAAGCGTTACATATAGTCATCGATAATGCTTTAGATGACTTTATCATTGACATTGAATCTTTTTGAAAAAATACAAGAAAAATTTAATTGTTATATGGTATTTTTTTAGTTATTACTAAAATGCTTTTCTTTTAATAAAAAGAAACATAACCTTTAGCTTTAGGTATATTCAAAGAAATTTTGGCGCCAAATAAACCACTATAGTTCGTGTATAATCTGTCATGATAAGGAATTAGTATTTATAATCTTTTGTTAGCATAAACCATACGTAGTTTTACAGCATTTTTTGACTATATATGTAGTTTTAATGATTAGATTAATCGATGTTGAACCAATCTTTGACTTAAAAGGGCACAGCACAAGCTACCACAATTTTTCAGATCAATTTGAGTTTGTACTTTTCGTGGGTTGACTTAAGAAAAGTATAAACTCAACTATGGTACAAAAAGTACTGCACGTAAAAGTAGTATTTGAATTGATGTTTGCTAATGAATTAATTATAATTTATTTGCTACACTGTGTCTGGTTTGACTATTCCTTATAAGTATTTCAAAGCATGTTTTGTGTCATGCCTGTATTTTACATTTTAGTTGTATTATAATCACATAAAGTTATTTTGTTTTAGGATACGTCTTCGAAAATATCCTCAAGCTTTGATCTAACTGAGGACTCTCGAAAACCAGTAAAAGTCAACAAGCTGCGGACGATAAGTAATCAAATAAGGTTCGTTAGTTTAAAGTTCTTAATAAAATTGTGTTACAAGTAAGATCCTAAAATTTCTTAAACATTATGAGACGAGTTTTTAATAACTACCTAACTGGTGTGTGTAAAACAAAAGTTAATATTTTTGAAGTAAAATTTCTTAGGCGGCGATAATTGGAAGAAAATGGAAAGTGAAATTTCAAAGGGTCGACGTTTAGAAACAATTCCTTACATGAGACAGACGAAAGATGTAACATTATACGCTTATATTCCATACGCATACGTGCGTTGTAGATCTATGCACCAGACTCTATATATACATATAAACAGCTGAAAAACCACTTTCTCATTACGTTTTGTGATTAATTCCTTTTTGAAAAATGTGTACGGTACTGCAGCATATTTTTTAATTTCCAGATTCCTTCGACGCCTGGAGCGTAGTTTAAAAATGAAGGAAAGCTACCCTGCGCTTTCGGACGATGAAGGTGACGAGTCATCCAGTGTCACGTCACCTCTGCTGCAGGGCCGTAAAGAATTAAACCATATGTCTGGCCACGCAATATCAGCTCCTATGCTGGGCGCGGCTCGGCCTAAAATGATGAGACAAAGGCGATACGATAGGTCGTTGCTAAGTGAGGACACAAGGACGTTAAACACGGCTGCGGGAAACGACGTTTCCGATTAAGTAACACTTATACCTAAGTACCCGTGACATTTTAAAATGTTCAATTTCCACTGAAGAGAATTTTTTAACGAATCCATTATTCAACAATGAGACATGCACGGTTATTTTGTTATAGAAAATATTTATTTGATCAATACAGCGCGTGGAAGTCATTTAAAAAGGTGGATTATAAAAATAATCACGATGCACTTTTATTTTGAATGCAGCACATTGAATTAAGGGGGTAAATACGACGTTAGACAGCTGTCATATTGACGATTATGTATACAAGATTCTCTCTAACCTTATTGTGATAAACTTTAGCATAAGGAACACTATTCAGTAGTGAATATCGATTATGTACCTGTAGATTTTATTGTTACTTGCGTATAACTTTTAATTTTATTAAGTTCAATTTTTGATGTTCATAATGCACCTCTTAGAAAGGCTTAGTTATGTAAATAATTGTCTAATAGCAATAACGAGATTTTCTAGAAATCGATATAATTTAAATAGAGCAAATAAGTAGAAAAAAAAGTAGGTAGTGCCATATAGGAATATTCTTATGATGTTTCTAGTACGTTGACAGCCCACGTTATTTTGTGCGTAGAAATCGTATGTAATCAAGTGCGTGAATTGCTAGATCTTCATGATGTAAAAATTCATTATTGTTTTTTGAACGTTATGTTTAAAAGTTTAAGTTTGCTATTCTAGAAAACTACATTGTTATACAATAAAGCCGAATTACACCTTATGTTATGTAATTATACAAAATAATCGTTTTTATTTACCTCTTTCTAAGATTTTATTGTACATTTACAGTAACAGGGTGACATAAAATACACGGCATGAAAATATTTGACGATTTCCTCGCACAGAAAACCTTCAAACTTTATTTTAATAAGCGTTGAAACTAAACTAACTTCCTTTTGCCGTATTAATTAATTATCGAAACTAAATCTGTGACAGTGTTTTTTGTAAATATATTTAAACGTATTGCTCAAATACATATTTTATGAATTTTTGTCTTTTGTGCACTTTTTGCTATTTTGTAAATACGTGAACACGTTGTTTGATAATTGTAAATACCGGAATACGAGAGAAATTTTCCTTTCCTTTTAATATTTTTAAGGTACAACTGTAAATTTTAGTCGACTAAGTTTAAAAATAAAATTAAAGGCCCAAAAAAATCGGTATACCATATGCACAATTACTATATACATTTTACAATCATGTGTATGGACGTAAGCACATTTTACATTTTAAGGAATTATCTATTTAGGTCCTTTAGTGAGATAGTAAATTACATGTTAATCGACGCACCAATAGAATAGTTAATTGCAATGTTATGTAGTTACTATTGATATAACTTTCAGTGACAATGTAATGCTTGTTGGTTAGACGCAAGCATTTCTTTGAATGGAATTGAACAGAATGTTAAAATTATATTTCGAAAATGTGAACTATTGTATTTATAACATTTACCTTAGACCTATTATCACTAAAAAAAGTTGCAATTCAGGTCTGCCACAGGTTAACAAAAATGTTAAATGTCCCAATACTGCAAGAAATAAAACTCAATTTAATAATATTAAGTAAGATGATAATAATATATGGTTTCCATACAAATTTTTTTAAATTTAACTACTAAAATTAGAATTTTCCGGCATGTAAGATGTCTCTTATACCTTAACTTTTTTTATTTGAACTATAAAAGTATTCTTTTATCTTTTTATAAAGCAACCCAAAATCTAGTCTGGCATAGAGTTACACATTTATTGATTTAAAAGTATGAATAATTCTAGAAATAATTTTATTTTAAGTACATAATTATGTACTATAATTAAACTTAAATACGCACTAACGTGGTCACGTTCTCAGCAATAAATTCGTGTGATTCGACTGTACAAAGACTGACATCTGATTGTATAAGAAGAACCAATCGTAGTCGACTTCTGTATTTAAATCGGTGTGTATTCTATGTTACTGTAACGTAAAGAATGTTATCCTATTAATAAATCATACTGATGTTTAAATGCCTTTAAAATGACATTACGGAAATTCGAAACGGTCAATTTATAATCTATAGGTATATGAATTGCCATTTATCATTCACTCATAAAAAATATTTTTTGTCGATAACAAAAGCTCACTTTTACGACACTGGCTCATTAATAAAAAGTAACTACCCAATCTCCCTTCTCCCTCCTTTTCTTCGTCATGTTGGTTACTTATTTCTAGTAATATCATGCTTGCTAGATTCTTTAGCCGCTTATAGCTCATTGTATTTAAAATAATGTATTCTATAATTATGATAATAACGGCCTGTTCATTGAGACTGATTTTCTAAACTTAACTCTTAAATAGCTCTTTTTATTTTTTTAAATGTGAGAGTGAATGGAATTTAAATGTCGGTTTAGTTCAAACTATATGTGTATCTTATTCTATTTTTGAAACTTCTGTGTTTGACTTTAATTCGTTAATAATAAAATTAACGGTTTAAATTTCAATTTTATTATTAGTCATATAAAACATTGACTTTGACGGTTAAATAAAGCTTGTCTTTAAAATACTTTTGTTCTAAAACCTTTATTCTTGTCTACTGTTGGATTAAGTACATAAATTAAATTAGGAACGTAAAATCACCAAATTGACGTAAGCAATATATTCATGTACTTACCTAATTATCTAAAATAAGTAAAAGTTATTTTACTCGGCATGATTAAAAATTGTGTCTACTATGAATCACAAGAATTATGTAATCTTATGTTTATGTATCTAAGTTTTCTACTTTGGTACATATTACAGTGACGCGATTAATCTAACTTAGCTCTGCCTTTAAACCTGAAACTTCATCTTTTTCTCGCCCACAAGAGATTTTGTAAACTTATTCATAATAATATGTTCACTTTATGTTTGTTTTATGCGTATTACATAATGTTAATTTACGAAAATATCAATACATAATGTAATAGTGAGTAATACGTTATTTTTTATGAACAGCAGTATTTTGCGATTTCTAAATTTTTGGGTACTATGTCATTAAATAAAGTAATCAAGAGTCCAGTTTATTCACAGATGGTATCTTATATCATTAATATATTTTTTTCTATATATTTTATCAAATTAAAACTTAAACATTAATCGAATCACGCTTGTTAACTCAAAGTGTGTGTGAACAGGCTCTAACACTCGTGTTGTAGGACCAGGAATGTAGTTTATAAGTACGTAGGTCACTGAACAAATGTTAATGCACTTAGCATAAGAAAGCTAAAAGGTATTGTTTGAGAGATATTCTAGGTGTCTAATTATTTCATTCCTTTCATTTTGTTTTCTTTTCCAACGGTGAGCATCCTTAACGAAATATATTGCTAAAACTATTTTATTTTCTTACCTTTATAAATATTTAATTGATAGTTAATCTAAATATACCAACTTATGTCATAGCGCTTATAGCCCCGTACGCGGTAGACAGAGTACCAAAGTTATTGAGGCGAGGTAAGCCCTATGAGGATGTAACTTTAGAATTATAGTGGCCTATTTAAAAATATCAAATTTTGGGAAACGTAAATTAAGTATTTATTTAGTAAATTAAGGATTTGTGGAACTTATGAACAAACGCGCTAATTGGGGAGAAGTGAAAGAGACAGAAGTATACGTTATGTAGCTTTCTAAAAGCGGCCCATGTTTTAATAGGTTTCAAAAAAGATGGTCGCTTTGGATCGTTTCCTGACATAAAGCCAAAATCATGATTTTCATAATTAGGTCCCTTTAATTCTAAAGATGCGATTGTCAAGTATATTATTGTCAAAAGTAAAGGATCAGCCGCAAGTAGAATTCTCTGTGTATGTACGTAGCGAATTTGTGTTTTATGCAGTAGTGATGCATTGAGTGTCTATTAGCATGGATAGGTACGATCTTATACCCAACTCAACACCTTTGCTAACCCAGGTTTGAACCGTTATTTACTATTTACTTGATACCTTTTCAACTTGTCCCCAATTAAATTATATTTACAGATTTATCGCGTAAACCAACCTGGTCACGGAACAGACATGAACGTTGTAAAGGGTTCGAAACGTCGGGAAATTAAATTTTAAAAATAAACGTGATGACACCGTAAATACAGTTCAATTTTATAATGTGTAATGGCGTATATAAAAGAAATTATTCCCACTGTAAGATTGTCCATAAGCATAATAATTTAACGTCGTCTTCGACTCTGTCGGTATAAGAATCCGGTCACTTGAATGAAAAAGCCTAGAATTTTCTAGACTTCCTGCCAAGATTTCATGTATTATTAACAATTTCTGTTTCTATTACAACTTTAATTAAATTATTTGCTTCATTTGGATTTAAATGTTACATTTCTAGTGCCACCCTTTTTTTTTTTAATTTAGAGATGCATAAAATATCCAACTGAAAAGAAAATAGGTTCAAGAAATTAACACCCAGTAAAACCTTTCTTTCCTCTTATTCTGTTCTGCAAAAACTAAATTGTGGCCTTTTATGCCTATGTTATTAGTTTATATGAAAATAAAGGACTTGTTTTTTAAATTACTAAATTATTTTTTCATTTAAATGGAAAGATATTAAGAGAGTAACGCGAAACAGGATTATTGGGTATCCAATAAATTTTGCAGAACTACTGTTAAAAACTCATTTAATGTATACACAAATTACGTATTATATTAATTTAGTAAAACGTCTATACGTAGTCTTTTATGTTGAACTATGTAGCCTACTTATACTGCAGTCGAACTCATTCCATTGTAAATACGTTTACACTGCACTCATTTGCAGCAAAATGTGAATTAATTATATTTATCATACCGCCTTATTCACTGACAATGTAAAAATAAATTTGCTTGTTAACTTGTGGCCTTTTTTATTGTTGGAATTATTGTTAAATTAAAGTGAATAATTGAAGATGGTCTACTTTATAATGATCTGCTTATAATAATCCAATGCATTCAAATTAAATGGTATCGCTCGGTATTTGGGCGTTTTATTTATTAATTCGTAAATGTACAAATATTGCCCGGAGCGCTTTTCCTAACGCACGACTGCCTCCTCTGCTTGCTGGCTTCTTTGACCATAGATAAACTTTTTTTTCTTTTACTTCTAAGACATGCAAGATTCTTACTGATGTTTTTCTTCAGTGCGACTGAATAAAATCTAAAAAATCTGCCTTTGAAATTGCATCAACAATTTCATTCATTGAGACATAAATTATTCAAATTAAGGTTAGACTCAAATTTATAGAGAACGGCCCCAACTGAATATCATATTTGTAATCATCTTTTATGCCGTTAAATTAGAAAATAAAATACCTGGATGTTTTGTTATTTTGTATGTACCTAGTAACTAGCACTTTTATTTAAAATTGGTTCCGAATAATATTGAACATCCAAACAGCGCCTTCATTTTGTGAAGTCATTAAAATAAAACCAATACATAGACTATCAAATGTTTTATTACAGATAATACAACAATAAATTACACAATCCAAAAGCTTAGAAGTAATAAAATCACAGTGCATTTGATTTGCCAGATATCTACAGTTTCGAGGCAATATTTACATCAATTTTTGTTGATCGTCTACAAAAAGCAATCAAAGGGAAATTCTTTCGAAAATCCTTTATACAAATACAAATGAGAAACCGAATCATCTAAGTACCTACTAGAATATTACTGCAACACTTCGTTATACGACAAAACGTAGCCGACTAGAAACTTGGGTGCCCAGTGTTATCCACGCTTCTATAATGTACAGCAGGAAACAAAATAATGTTTTTTTTCATGGTGAAAAGATAAGAAATTCATCACACTATCACTCACGCGGATAAAATCCAGATCTTCAACTGCTCTTATTGGGCTCATGTATAGGAGTAGTGACCTGACCATAATTTATATTCAATCAATTCAAAATAAAACAACGGTTGATCTTCTAGTCAACGTATTAACTTTAACCCTCCATGAAATCAACTAGTTGAATTCGTCAAAAACTTTTGGAATTTTATGTCTTTTAATGAAATCGACTCGTTGAGCGCAAATGTAGCTAAGTGTGTAAATTAAAGAAACTTACGTTAAAGTAAAGTAAAAAATAACGTATACGAAAATCGATTATATTCGAATTTAACTAGTTGATCAACTAGTTGACGAACATTAATCAACGTTAAGTTAAAGAAAAAATCTTTCAACGACCCATAGCTAGTGCAAATACCATCATTACAAAAATGCGACCCACAGGAACTGATAACATCTATATTCTGATGGTTGAGCAGTGATGGCTTTTATATACATCTGTAAAATTCAGACTCCACATAACTTATATACATAATATTCTTTTCGTGTATACCATAGAATTTTTTCCTTCCCATGCTTTTATCACACTAACAGAGATAAATCACTAAATTCCAGAAAAATCCTATTTTGTTTGTCTGTTATTAGGAACAATAGAAAATCAATGTAGTTTATTTTTATTATTACGATTTCTTGTAACATAAATAATACTTATGTAAATAATAATTATTAAACGAAAATTATAAGGATTGTAACCGTTTGACTTCAAAAAAAAATAAAGGCTAAAAAATCAGTTCTCTTTCTGTTTTACCTAGGGTTAGCTGGTAGAGAATGCACTTTAGCATTAAGCTGGCCTTTGTACAATTTTAAGTGCAATAAAAAATCCGTAAACTAAATTTATTTATAAATTTTGACAAAAAAGTTTTATGAATTTTATCTATGTTAATTATTAGTTCTAAACTCCTATATATTGCCCCGTATAAAAATATAAAAGTAAGAAAAATATCAGCGGAAAATAAGGGCTAAATGTGCGTTGCGGTTAAAAAGACAATACATGTAGTAAAAATAATCCAATTACATTCCATTGATATCAAATGACATTAATTATTATTGAGACTTAACTTGACACAAATTTCAAGCAACCCTCATTACTTACATAAAATAAACTATTTGGAACAATTATTTTTACCAATCCATATTTTCCCAAAGCTAGAAAGCTTCTTCACTTCTTCACTTCTTCACTTTTCTTTGTTAATTTCAATAAGTGAACAGTAATATGACAGTTTCGAAAATCTTTACAAAGTGACGAAGCGAAACGACTTCTAAACTTTTAAAAAGGGAACTGTCAATTCGAAACAAAAATAAATAAAATAAAAAAGCCTTTTATTTCTTGCTACACAGTAGAAATTTACAACTTGAAAAAAGAAACAATTCGAAACAAACTATATCTATATTTGTCTATGCGTTGAAAGTTATATTCCAAGTCTCATCCTCGCATTTTACAAACTCAAAGTCAACAGCCTAACCTGCGCTAAGTTCATACATGATAAGGTTCTAAATTGGCAGCCTCGTACTGGCCATCGCAGTGTGGGACGACCCCCCACTAGATGGAATTACGACCTATGCAAGTGTACGGGAAGTCGATGGACGCAGATGGCTCTGGTGGTGGCCTGAGTTCAGCAGTGGAACTCAAACAGGCTGAAATGATGAAGTTCATGTAGCAATCGAAATCAACGAAATCCGGAAAGCCACTCTAAACACACCAACTCAGCTAGCGCGCTTACCATCCACGGCCGCATCGCCACTTACCATCAGGTGGGATGGCAGTCAAGCGCTAGTCAGTTCCATAAAAAAAAACTTCCAACTTGTAGGTATCTTTTAGGAACGCATAGACAATTTAGGCCATTGTCATATGACAGTGGTAGCCCACGCTTCATCGTTCCGCCAGATTCAGAGTATTAGCATACTCTGTCGTGATATAACAGCCCCCACCACCTGTTTTAACAGTTTCTTTTTGATGTCGGGTACATTATAAAAGTCTGAGCAAAACACGGAATAAGCCGACCAGCAAGCTGTGTGTTAGCTCATTTTAATAAAAATATTGTCTATCCATGTATATTACATTTAATGTTATTATATTATTATGAAACGTTTCAGAAATTCTCACCATTCTGATAATTCAGATTATTCATATCATTCAGAAAAAATTCTTATCACAGTCCAGACAGGTCCATACGTATTTTCTTGGTATGAATTTTTTTTTTTTGCGAGTTTTAATTACTTGTTATAAATAGTACTTTCAAAAGTTTACATTTAACAACAACTGACGTGAGCCCTATTATGAGGTGACTTACATTTTGTACTATCGACGATTTACGAAACGTTACGAAATATGACGTACAAAATGTTTGTACTGACTTCACAGACTTACTATACAGGCTATAATTTACGTACGCTTGTGCACTAACCTTAGACTAGAGCTTCAATAAGTTAAACCCAATACAATATATACATAAAATAAAACATCTGACGTCGAAGTGCCTAAATACATGCCAACATTGTGTACATGACGAATAGTCAATAGTCGCGAGGAAAGACACGGCGCTGTGGTACACTAGGGCAGGCCCTGTAGTAAGCTAGACCATGCTGCCGAGATTGTTAATAGTTGCGGGGAAAGGAACGGCCCTGCGGCACTCTAGATGCCATGGAGATAGTCAACAGTGGCGGGGAAAGGCACGGCCCTGCGACACTCTAGATGCCATGGAGATAGTCAACAGTGGCGGGGAAAGGCACGGCCCTGCGGCACCCCAGACGGCGTGGAGCACTCTAGAACATGCCGTCGTGCACGCCGATCGGCACGAGCACCGCGAGGAATATCGCGAGGTTCCTGAGCGCCAGCCGCCAGTCGTCGGGCACCGCGTGCGGCAGCACGGCCGCCGTCAGGTCGCGCAGCTCGTGCGCCGCGAACACGAACACGTACGAGGTGGCCATCAGGTTGAGCACCGGCGCGCCCGGCACCAGCACCAGCACGCCGTGCGTGTCCGCCGCCAGCCAGATGTGCGACTGGCTCGCGAACAGCTCGAGCGTGACGCCGCCGAACCACGCGAACAGCGCCGAGTGGCGCGCCCGCAGCGAGCCGGACACGTTCCTGAGGATCACGTAGCCCACTATGGGCAGGAAGGCGACGTAGCTGTGCACCTCGTCGCACTCCGCGGCGCCGCTGCAGAGGAACGTGAACGTGACGTAGCCGCCGATGGCCATGAACGCGGCCAGGGCGGCGCTGAGCGACACGCCGGGGGTGAACAGGTTGCCGCGGTGGTTGTCGTCCAGCAGCCCGTGCCGCTGCGCCATCAGGTAGCCGGCCGCGAAGATGGCGCCGAACGCCATCGAGTACCTGCGCGGATGCGGAAGCTGAGGCCGTGCGAGAGCGAGACGGCGATGTTCGTCACCATCAATTTGAATTATAAAAAAATGGCCAACAATTCGATCACGTCGGACTTTTACTTGCATCCTCTAAATTCTAGTAGCATAGTATAGAGAATATTCTAGAGTCTAGAATATTTCCCACACCAAAAGACCGCACATCCTCGGGACCCACCTGTCCTGCTTCCAGGTGAGCCACCACTGGTGGATGTCGTCGTCCGAGTTCACGAACAGCGCCTTCCACGGCCTGGTGACGAATATCTTCTGGAAGAACACCTCGCTCATGTAGAGGACGGTGACGATGGTCAGCAGGCCGATGATCTTCAGCGCCACGTAGAGGTACTGGTACGGCCTCGACTCCACCGTATGGGCGGACGAGGGGGCCAAGTGCGGCGGCAGTGCGAAGATCACGAACAGCTGCGATCGAACGTATCACTTTTGACGCACGTCCCACTCTCATAATGACTAGTGCTGTACGAAACCCGTACGACCTGTAGCATCTCAACTACATGTTATTCGTCTTCTTCCTCTTGGCCATTTTGCTTCTATTTTTCCTTCAATTATATTTTTCTGTATGTTAAGTAAAACGGGGAAGAGGAAGAAGACGAATAGCATGGAGTGACAATTTGAAAAAACATTAACGACGCCGTCAGTCTTTGTAGATTGGTGCAGAATAGAGAAGACTTCCGTGTGGTGGTCGCCGACATCCGATAGGATAGGGCACCCCCAAGAAGAAGCATGTCAACATGCGTGCTTAAACAAAACTCTTTGACTTTTTTAACTGTTCTACTGTCACTCAGCAGTCTTTTCTGTGGTACGAATAGGCGGGGGAATCCATAAAGGAGCCACGGCCTCACAGAAACCGGCGAGTAAACTTATACGTTTCGTCTGGTGAGCGAGGTCCCACTTTATTAGAAGATGGCAACGCACCTATGACCCTAAAGGTATGGCAAATATGGCATGTACGATGGTTATCACTTAACATCGGGTGAACCGTTCGCTAGCCAACCATGTCACATATAAAATACCATACGTGACTGCTAATGTTGGGTCATGGAAACCTTGCCTCTGTGCATAAGGCTACTCGCTTTGTTCCTCAACTTGAGCGTACTTAACGCTGTTAAGTTATAAGAACGTTAACCTAACTTTACTTAGTCAAAGTGACGAATGACGAACCCGTCGAATCATTGGCATAGCATTCAAGCGGATCGTATATTGGGTTCCGAAGCAAAACCGAAAGTTTAAACCAAACTACGTCTCAAAAAGTGGGTGTGGTGACCAGCGCGCTGAATAAACATATCAGATAAAATACCAAAGCAACATACCAAGGTGTACCAGAAGGAGACCAGGGGTATGAAGCTGTAGAACTGGTAGGGCCGGTTCATCGTCAGGCAGAGCACCACCGTGAGGAAGTTCAGCCGAAAGATCACCCTGAGGTATCTGACCAGGCCGGTGTCACCGGTCTTCCAGGTGTAGTAGAAGTGGCCGTAGCCCGTGAGGAACAGGTAGGCGGAGATCAGGGCGCGCACTAGCATGTAGATGGGCAGCACCTTGCTGGCGCCAGTCACCTGGTAGACGAGGATGACCAGCTGCATCCAGCCCTTCCACTCGTCCGTCTGATTCCTGTGCAGGATCCTGGAGAATATTTGCAGTATAGTTCGTTTCTTCCGGAAATTTCATACAGTCTGTGTCGTTTCAGACAACATCCCTAAAAGGCTATAAATTTAGGATTTTTTTCTTTATTTTTAATGCTGATCTGCACGCAAAATTTTATGGGAGTTTGATAGATAAGTTGTCGAACAACTTTTCGTTCATTCGAGATATAACTGTCCCTCATTTCTCTTCTTACTTGAAGTAATGTTTAATAGTTCCAGACTTCCCCTACACTGTGTATATTACGTATCAAATACGACTGTATTTGTCGACTGTGTAAAACTAATTAGCTTAATATCCACTGAGACGGTTGATGGAATAAGGGGCGAGACGACTAGAAGAAAGGGAAAAGAGAGAGAGAAGAAAAATAGAAGCAAGAGCTGAGAAAGCGACCTGCTCGAGCGCGAGTCGTCCGTGAAAAAGAGCCCCAGCGCGAACACGTAGCCGACGGGCAGCCAGAAGCTCCACTCCGAGTAGTACTTGTTCTCCTTCATGAAGAAGTTGGTCCGGTCGCAGAGGTAGAAGTAGGCGACGATGGCGCCGAGGCGCGCCAGGGCGGCCGCGGGCGAGGGCCGCTGCTCCGGCGGCTTCGCCCCCACCGGCGCGTAGCCGTCCGCCCGCAGCCGCAGCTTCTGCGACCACGACCATGCGGCCCGCAGCGCGGCCACCACTGCGCTACACGCAGCGTTACCGACCAATTTAAAGAGATGGCCCTAAAACCAAGGTGTGACACCCCCGAATAGCCCAAAAATGCAATTATCAAAAGCCCCAAAAAAACCCAGCGTTGTATTCGAAAATATTGTTTAAACGTGTTTCACGTTTTGTATTGCACAAATAGTTGCAATAATTAACAAAAGAGCATATTATTGAAGAACGTTTCATTGATTACATTAATTGATAGACATTTTGCTTTTTTTTTTTTTTCACTGATTTTAGTCAGTCAAAATAGTGATGCATGAAATATTATTCATGCCCCTAAACATCAGTGCCTCTAAGATTGCAAGCCTGGCTACACGCAACACCGACCCGACACCACTAAGCCCCCGAGCGTTTCGAAGTTATACTTCTTTTGGTGCGTTTGGGCTAAGACGGTGAGAGTGGATTTTCGAGAGTGAGTTCGCGACGCCCAAAGGCGACACCAAGGTTAATCCACGGTGCTACCGTGACAACCGATACCAACTTTCTTTTACATTTACTTCATGGATTTATAATCAAAGTTAATTAATCATCTTTTTTTCGCAAACAAAGAATACTGGCACATGGGTAAAATTTTTCATCATTTTTCTTTATTACGCTAAATAAGTTCAACTTCTTATGCGCGTACACATACACGTTTTTGGACGTTTGAGGGATGACCGCCACCCATGGACATCGTTAAAGAGGGTTACATCCCTCATGAGACGAAACGCGAAGGTATTCACTTCGCGCTGTTCTGTAGGGCCGTGGCACTTCCAGCAGGACGGACCAGCCCGTTCGTGCAACGGCAGCTGATAGCCCTACCACAGTACAGCTGACGTTTTTCCTTTGCACAGGCGAACATATGGAGCGAAAAGCGACACAGTATGGGAAGAGTCGCGCATATTTGGTTTGCACCAATCGCGTTGGCTTGCGCGTTTAATATTCCCCGCAACTCGCCTCCGATACCCTGTAAAGACCTAATAAACGACTACGGCGCAATCTAATGCAACTTTAATAATGCTTGCCGCGACCTATATCAACCGATTTACACGAATTACGAGTAAATACTTAACTAAATTTTAACTTAGAAAAGTCGCAAGAGAAAAAGTGCAAAAGTGGAGAATCGAGCCGCTCACCAGAGCGAGAAGAGGGCGAAGGTGAGCATCTGCAGCTGCGTGTAGGGCTCCGGCTGGGCGCAGCACGAGCCGTCGTTGAAGTTCATGTGATCGTTGCAGAACATGTTCAGCAGGATCTGCGCGCAGTGGCGGAGGGCGGTGCGGCTCGCCCCCCCTCGCGACGCCCCCTCGCCCGACGCCCCCCTGGCGCCCCCCTCGCCGCCGTCGCCCCCCGCGCCCGCCCCCGCCCCGGCCGCCACCAGCCGCGCCGCCCCCCACACGCGCGCCGCACTGTGCCTCAGGATCTGGCCGCGACGCGAGTGTTGTGACTTAGTGCTCGTTCACGTGGGATCACGCGGGCGCGGCAGACGTTACGATCTTTGCGCGAGTGTGACGTGTTCGACGTGAAAACGCACAAACGTCTCAAGCGTTTGATAATGCCGCGCGCCAGCCCGCTAGTTTGCCCGCTACTCAGACCGCACGTGCGTTTCGTACGTGAACGCTTGGATCGTATGTTTTATATTTCGTCACCGCGCCCGCGAGTCAGCGTGTTCAAGCACTTAAGCTTAATTCATTGAGCCAATACCGTTAAATATAACTAATTTACGGATTTTATTCCGTTTCATTTTGTTTTCAAAGGTCCATCGCCAGACAGACTGAGCGATTTTACGCATTATTTTCATCGAATGCCATGAGTAATTTTAATCTTACATTGTTATTTTTTCTTATTAAAAAAACGACCTAGCAGGCGGTTTGAAAATACAAAACCGGGTACTGTGTACTCGAATTTGTATTTTTTTTGTTTCATTTCTTTAAAAACATTGCCCTTACTGTATCATAACATTATCCTGTGTTGTAAGGACGTTTTACAAACATAAAATTTACATTTGTGGGTCACACAAATAGTTGTCCCGTGTGGGAACCAAACCTTAACCTAAATACAACATATTCGTTTAGTTTATTTAAATGTTAGTATATATGTTTATATATATATATATATATATATATATATAAACCTTGGCAACTGCGCCACGGCGTCATCAAAATGCAACCAGGCTGCGACATAATCACCATATAAGGGTGACGAGTTTATCGTCGAGACTCTTATGAGAATCGGAGACCCACCTCCATTGCGGCGCTGTTGTACGCGTCTATATCTCGGTTGCTTATCTTCTCGTCTTCCGCCATGGCGGACGCGTCCACTGACTCCAGAAGCTTCCACAACACTCGTGTGTTGCGCGCCGCGAGCGAATCTATCGGCTGCACCAATCGCGTCAGGTTCCTCTTGTACTCCTCGAGCATCAGCTCGGTGACGTTGCGATTCCTCACCAACTGCAGACCGGTGCTGGCCACTATCACGGACGGCGGCCGATCCGAGCGCTCCCTGAGCGAATTTGAGCCTTGCAGTAACCGCGTAGAGTCCATAATTGTACACGGACGAAACAGTCGTGACCCGCACTTGATATTTATTGATGTAATAACTATTTTATATCTATAAATGACACAACAGAATGCACGACGTTAAAAAAATCGAGTCTCATCAGTTATACCCAAATTTTTAACGCCAATCGCGATCGATTTCAAATTGGATCAAGGGGAAATTTAAAAGAAATTAATAAGGAACATTTGATTAAAAAGAATAAGTGCAAATTCGGTCAATCGGCTTGTTTTTCTTTTTGTTGTTTTTTTTTTTATTTTTTATTATAATATTCACACAAGTACATTTGGAGCAAAAAGATATTCGCACATCGCTAGTCCCAATTCAAGGACCAAGAACCACAATATTTTCTACTCCAAACGAAACTGAAGACCGTAATTGTGGGATGTTTTAGAGCAAAACCACCATCAAGACTCACCACGCGCGGAACTGGTCGACCATGGTCTTGGACACGTCGTCGCTCCACATGAACGTGACGGAGAGTTTCAGCTTGCTGTCCACGTAGGTGTAGTTAGGGAGACGATGGTCCACCGTCGAGTAGGAGGTGTCCAGGTCGAGCCTGGTCTTCAGCACGCCTATTGACATACCACAATACTAAAGTCAAAGTGAAAATTTCTTTATTCAATTAATTGAAGCTCTGACTGAACGTCAAAAAATACTAATACCGGTTCACTAAACTAGACCAGAACGGGGAAGAACCGGCGAGACATCGGAAAGCATTTTTGAAATGTTTTCACGTAATTATTAAATAATTAAATGTAATCACGAGGGCTTGGCGCATTAAAAGGTTCGACCACACAGGTATTCCAAATATGGACCTCGACTAAAGTAAAATCGTGTTCGGGAGATTCTGGAGTCCACAGTTTTATGTGTCGAACTTTTACCCGCTTGGGTTTTTTCCGCACAGTAGATTGTCGAACATGAATGTCAGCAACGTTTGGTTATATTTACATTTCGTAGAGTGGACCCTTGTTACACGCTAGCGTATTGTTGACCCTTGTTACACGCTTGTTAAACGTATGTGAAATTTTGAAGGTCATCTAGATGATCTTCAAAAGTTCGCATATGTTTTACCTTTCGTCGATGTTAAATCACGCCTTGCCCTGTGGTATCTCCTCGGATGAGCCTACCCATTTGTGCACTTGAGTAGTTATCAATCAAAAAATAAAATTTAAATACCTTTTTTGGGTTCAAAGGTAGAGGGAGTCCTCTCAAAATCGTCATCGGCACCGAGATCGTCGTCGACAAACAACATAATAAACTCAAACTTTAGGAGAAGGAAAAATATTACTTACTAATGAAATACTCATAGAGCTGCTCCAGTCTAGAGTCGCCTATGAAAGCGAAGCTGTTATACTTCCCCCAGAACGCCAAGTATCGCAGACATCGCCTGGCATCACTGCAGCGGCGGTTGTCGAAAAATCAATGATTGTGGTTAACTTCATATTGTTATTCCAATGTTCAAACTTGGCTATTTTTAATACAATGGACAGACAAAAATGGTGAATATTGTAAACACCAACAAAGTCAGCCAATAGTATCTATACAAGTGAGTGATAGTAAAGATGTGTACATTTCTGTCCTGAACAGTTATATCTTTGGAAATATGGTGCATTTCCATTTATGTTCATCACTGAACAAGTGAATGATTGACAACAAAGGTATGTTTTAGCTACATGGCTCATAAAGAGATATAAAAAAATAAAACATTTGTGGGAAAGAAAAAAATAAATACAATACAATGAATGATCACAAATTCTTTGGCTTTGTTTTGTAAATTTTCGAAGTAATTTTATTTATTTTTTTCCAACTATTATTAGTTAAAATTAATTATTAATTATAATTTATTCCATTTTTTAATAACTTGTAGTCACCCTAAGAAAAACTGTGTCCTGGTTACCTCACTCCCCAGATAAAATGCAGAAGTATAATACTTCCATATCACACCAGTCTTCTGTTAGGCCATGGTAATAATTCCCTAGAAAAGCCTGATCATTCATGTAACAGTAAAGACTACTATGTGGCTTCACCAAAGTATAAAATATGTGAGCTTTCAAATATGTCACTTTGTTGACATATTTGAAGGCTGAGTTTTTATTATTGCATTATTGTGAAATGATATCACAATAATACAATAATAAAAACTCATTGCTAATCTGCCTACTTTACATTAAGAAAATGAAATGCATTATACCCATTATTGTAATGTTTTTAGACTTACGTTTTAGAGTATTTATGTAACATACATCCATAGGGCTGCCACTCATGATCACCTTTATATCGCCCAGACGTTAACAACCAGGTACATGAATCAGGTCCTGAAATTTATTAAACATAGAATTAATTAAAGAAATCATAGCAATATTTACAATTTTTTAAATGAAACAAGACCCATTTTATTTTTCTATGTTCAGTTCTTTGTCGTTATGTATTTGTGCCATTTGATATTGAAACTTCAGGTTTAATTTGAAAGTTTTAAAGCCTAGACTTATTGCTGCAGCTGGTAACAAGAGGCCTGCTTCTTTTCTCGCTCAAAAGGTTAAAAATTCAATGAAGAAATGCAGCTAGCATTCTTAACACCAAGCCGAATGGACTAGATTCATTACATAATATGTAATTTATTGAGATTTAACGTTGTAAATGTTGGACTGTAAATAATTTATCAATTGAATTTTATGTGGATTACAAATGCGTTTCATGAGTTCATTTGTCAATTAACGAAATTTGCTTACCATATCTTAAATGCAATATGCCATGATATCCTATAAAGCCAAGAACAAGTAGGAAAGCCACTAACTTCGCATTTTTTACGTTTAATTGGTCAATAAACCATTCTGCTGATGTTTTCTTTGGATAAGATACCATAACTGGAAATAATGAGTTAATATGCTGACCTAGTATTTAAAAAATAAACGTGTTAAATTAGCTTATCTTTAGCTATTAAAGTTAATTAAAATACGGAAACACCTTTACAAGCCGCTTGATTCATAATAAAACAATTTTTTATGACATATAATTAATGATAATGACACTTGACACTTGACAGTTTCACAGAATAAAAACTGCAAATTGGTCTAATAGACTTACGATCTTTGGTGTATCTAGCTGTTGAATTGTGCCCCCTGGCTACTGTATGGGCACTATAACATGTAAAGGTATTTCCGGAGGAAGTTCACATCACCTAGAACCGAGCAATTAATCGTGGTAAAAATACAAACAGAAAAACCTTTCTATATAACCATTTAATTGCGAGACAAAACTAACGAAACTATTACTTTACAAAAATCATTAAGATCCTTTGTCAAGGAGACCTTTGCCCAGTTGTACGTCAACCTTGTGGCGACTCATTTGCTACTGTGTAGCACCGCTCTTATCTTTTACATCTCATCGGTCTAGCATTACCCTATTATTTACAAATTTCTATAGCAACGAGTGACAATAAAAGATTATGTTTTTCTCAACACGGCTTGTTCTTTGTACTGCATCTTAATTATTCCCTCCTGCCGGCTCCCAAACTGGTGACCCCGACGTGATGTGATAAATATGCGCAACATCGAAGCCCACGTCGCTACGCTCTGCAGTTTCGATCGGAAACAACAATTTCCGCGATAATCGAGGTTTGCTCCATTCTGCGACGCCGCCTAGGTACGCTTCCTTCTTTTTGTTTTTCCCTCCGTGCAGAGAAGTCTGCTAGGGAGACTAGAAAAGCCTCCTGCGAGTGAGACTATGGTATAGCCTGCGAGGGAGATTGTACAGAACAACCATGAAGCTATAATCGCAACAACTGTAAACGCATCTACGATAATCTACATCGCTATTGGACTCGTATTTTGTCCATTCTATGTAGCGCTGAGCCGGCATTTTTCGCATCGAGGCCGGCCATTTTTCTTTCTCTACCGGAGCTACGTCATCTTTGACGAGGAGGAAGTTGAAAAGCGCGCCACGCGCGGCAATCACCCGCAACATTGTGTCAGGTGACTAACAGCTCTCCACTGATACTTCGCGTCGGATGCTGCGTTTACACTCGTTCAAGTGAAAGTTTAGTGCTATTTTACACTTAAGATAGTATCATTTTATGTTGTATTTAGACTTACTTTACTTTTCTACCAATTTTATTATTACGTTTGCTGCGCAATACTGAAATTGTTTCGTTTGTGTATTTATCGATTTGTTCCACTGCGTGTATGTGTAAAGTGTTTTTGCGATTTGACCGTTTCTGATTTTACCTTTAAACCATGGCGAGTCAAGGAGAATCTAACGCTTCAGAGGGCCACGTTGGCAACGAGGGTGATGCTACTGCACTAGTCGGTGGCAGTCCCATTTACGTAAACAGGGTCGCAATTAGGACCCCGCCTTTTAGCAAGGATCGGCCCGCATTGTGGTTTGCTAGCCTAGAGGCGCAGTTCCACATTAACCAAATTACCTTCGAAATGACGAAGTTTCATTTCGCCGTGGCGCATTTAGATACCGAGTGTACGAAGGAGGTCGAAGATATTATCACACATCCTCCCGAGTTGCAACCATACACAACTTTAAAAAGCGCAATCATATCTAGATTCTCCGATTCCTTCGAGGAGAAGGTGCGGCGCTTACTAGAAAAGGAACAGTTAGGTGACCGCAAGCCATCTTCGTTCATGCGACACTTGAAGAGTCTGGCTGGGCAATCGTTCCCCGCTGACTTGCTGCGATCAATTTGGGCCAATCGGCTTCCCCGGCAGGTTCAAATTGTGTTGGCCGCACAGAAGATCCAGGACTTGACGGAGTTGGCGGAGATGGCCGACCCAGTTGGTGGAGTTGACCGAGAGGCCTACCACCGTGAGCCAGGTTTCGGCGCATCATACCTTTGAGCCCACTCTCGCGTCAATGCAGCGGCAGATCGAGGAATTGACGCGAACAGTCTCAGCGCTCAGAACAAACACCCATGAACGATCTGAGAGCTCACGCGTTAATCAAAAGCGGAGCCGCTCTCGATCGCGCTCACGCCCACGTAATCAGAAGCTTTGCTGGTACCACGATCGTTTCGGCAACAAAGCAAGCAAATGCATACCAGGATGCAGCTGGACCATTGAAGGAGCTACCAAACCTTTAAACTAAGGGAGCGGTCGGACGTGGTGGGTACCGACCGCGCACAGTCCAGCAAACGCCTTTTTATTACCGATCAAAATACCAAAATTAATTTTTTGATAGATACCGGTTCGGACATTTGTTGTTTTCCACGAAAACTTATAAAAGGACGTTTCTCAAATACAGGAATTACTCTCAATGCGGCAAATGGCAGCTCCATTAAAACTTACGGCACAGTTAATATGAACCTCAATTTAGGATTGCGCCGTGAATTTCGCTGGGAGTTTATTTGTGCTGACGTGGATGTCCCAATTATCGGTTCGGATTTCCTAGCTTTCTTCCACCTCCTACCCGACTGCCGTAGCGGCACACTGCGCGATGAGCTTACAAACTTATCCGCATATTGTTGTAACCGCAATATAATGCAGCCAAGTATTAGGACCGTAAAAAAACCGTCTCGCGATTCCCTGTTCAATCAACTCTTTTTAGACTTTCCGGAAGTGACGCGCCCACCTACAGCTGACCGTCAAATAAAACACAGCACTGTTCACTATATAACGACAACTAGTGGGCCGCCTGTCACGTCGCGTCCTCGTCGACTAGCACCCAACAAGCTAAAAATTGCTGAGAAGGAATTTAATGACATGGTGTCGGCGGGTACTGCTCGCCCATCTAAAAGCCCCTGGTCGTCACCACTGCATTTAGCACCCAAAAAGGATGGCATGTGGCGTCCTTGCGGTGACTACAGGCTCTTAAACGCTCGGACAGTTCCTGTGCCTCGGTACCCTGTGCGTCATATAGGAGACTTCAGTCATAATCTGGTTGGTTCTACTATATTTAGCACATTAGATCTAGTAAAGGCCTACCAGCAGATTCCGGTAGCTGGTCCAGATGTTTGCAAAACGGCCATAATAACGCCATTTGGTCTTTTCGAGTTTCCCTATATGTCATTTGGGTTACGCAACGCTGGCCAAACCTTCCAGCGTTTCATCGATGAGATCTTGCGCGGACTAGACTTCGCTTTTCCCTACATTGACGATATTTTGGTATTCTCACGGGATGCTGAAGAGCACGCCAAACACCTGCGCATAATCCTGCAAAGACTGGTGGACTATGGCGTCGTTTTCAATGTGGATAAGTGCGTATTGGGGACATGTGAGGTAATCTTCCTAGGTTATAAGATAACCAAGGATGGTATCTGCCCACCTGAAGAGAAGATCGCTGCTCTCCGCGAGTTATCGCTTCCCAAAACAGCTCAAGGTTTGAGACGCTTCCTGGGGATGGTAAATTATTACCGCCAATTTCTTCCCAAAGCCGCCAAGCTCCAAGCTCCACTTGTGGATTTTTTAACAGTCAGCAACCTAAAAGGTTCAAAAGCTATGTCCTGGACAGCAGACTTGGAGCGTGCTTTCTACGAGTGTCGTGACAGTCTCTCAGAGGCCACCATGCTTGTACATCCGCAACGAAATGCTCGTTTAGGGTTGTACACGGACGCCTCCAGCACTCATGTCGGCGCTGCCTTACAGCAAAGGTCTGATCAAGGCTGGCAGCCGTTGGCATTCTTTAGCAAAAAGCTAACACAGAGCCAAAGTACATGGCCCGCGTATTACCGCGAACTTCTCGCAGTGTACGCGGCCGTTCAGCATTTCCGGCATATACTAGAGGCACAACACGCGACAATCTACACGGACCACAAGCCGCTTCTTTATGCTTTCGTCCAACGCCGTGAAAAATTGCCCCCTGCTCAACATGAATTGTCGTTTCACCGCTTGGCAACATTAGCACACCTTCAGGCAGATTCCGTCATGTTCACCTGGACATTATTGGACCGATGCCTTCTTCAAACGGATTCACTTATTGCCTAACAGCAGTAGACCGTTTCTCACGCTGGCCCGAAGTTTGGCCCATGTCGTCGATAACCGCAGTAGAAGTCGCTGATCAATTCACCCATGGCTGGATCGCTCGCTTTGGTGTACCGATCACTGTCACAACGGACCAGGGACGTCAATTTGAGTCCCAACTTTTCAACAGACTGATGGATTTAGTAGCCACAAAACGCGTTCGTACTACGAGCTATCATCCCCAAGCTAATGGGATGATAGAGCGTTTCCACCGCCATTTAAAGGCCGCTTTAATGTGTCACAAGAGTTCTTGGTACCATGCCCTACCTTTCGTTCTTCTCGGAATCAGGGCGGCACTAAAAAATGACATCAAAACGTCAGCTGCAGAAGTTTTGTATGGGGAACCGCTACGCCTACCAGGCGAGTTCCTGGTGGCTAGCAATTCCCCTCAGACCGTGGACGATGATTTTGTTGCACAGTTGCGAAAACGGATGGCAGAACTTCGCCCCGTTCCAGCATCACGTCACACGAATTCTAAAACTTTCGTTTTCAAGGACTTACCTGATGCTACTCACGTGTTCCTCCGCGAAGATTCCGTTCGACGCCCTCTACAGCCACCTTATACAGGCCCCTACAGAGTGTTGAAGAGATCTGAAAAGACACTTACCTTAGACATTTCTGGCCGAAGATCTGAGGTTACCATCGACAGAACAAAACCTGCGTATATTGCACCTGACCCAGACGGCAATCCGTCCCCTAACAACTTGGCACCGGAGCCCCCAGTCCTTCCGACTCTTTCACCTCCTATTAGCCAAACGGCCGTGCCCATTAAAACGCCCGCACAGCCTGTAACAACCCGGTCAGGTCGCAAAGTTAAATTTAAAGATATTTTAGATTTATAAGTACTAGTTTTTAATACGTTATTTTTGTTAAAGCAGAGTTTTTTCAATTTTAAGTTTCCAATGTTTATTTTTTCGCTGTATAAATTAAAATTCCATTAGTTAAAAATTATCCTAAATAATGTTGCTTGTACTTTTATAATAACAGTGTATAATTATTTGATTGTTACATTTTATACTTGTTTTGCCTTCAATGTGTACTTATTTTTCTCCGTAGGGGGGTGATGTGGCGACTCATTTGCTACTGTGTAGCACCGCTCTTATCTTTTACACCCTTACTCTCATCGGTCTAGCATTACCCTATTATTGACAAATTTCTATAGCAACGAGTGACAATAAAAGATTGTTTTTCTCAACACGGCTTGTTCTTTGTACTGCATCTTAATTATTCCCTCCTGCCGGCTCCCAAAACCTCATTAATTCCTCTGAAGAGGTTCCACTTTCGGTGACCGTCGACATTGTCCAACTCCTTAATTAGAAAAATAAACAGTTGGTTACTTTACTTTACTTTTGGTTGGTAGAAATTAACTAATCAACTATATAACGGCTTTTGAAATGTCAGTTGAGTCGCCAAAAGGATGAACTCTGTGTATTGATCAGAATGATCTTCTTAATGATCAGAATGATCAATTCAAATAGCTATTTGACAGTTCATTTAAAGAGATTAACTAGTTTCTACGATGATCAATGTTTCAGAAAACGGGCGTGAAAAAAGTGAGATAATTTATTAAAAATCTCATGTAAAAAATGTACTTTACATTGATTTAAATAAAATAAGTTTTATTGTGTTTTTGCAACTCCTTAGCTAAAGAGTAGTTAAATCTAATAACCTTAATAATTAATAATATAGTTAAATTCTAAAATATAACATTAGAAAAATCTAGTTATTTTGATCGTTACTGAATTAAGCAAACAAATGCCAAATAATAATTTTAATAATAGTAACATCAACCAAACGTCTCAATTGGTATAATGGCGGCTATGTCCCCGTCGGAGGTGTGTAAAAATATTTAAACTGTTCTGATCTATAATTTCATATTCTAAAATTTAGATTAAGTAGTGCCTTACGGTCATAATACATAAGTTCGCTTAATTATATTACCTATTCATTGCTGATAGTTCCACTTTTCACAACTGTTTTGACACATCCCTAAAGAAGATATTTTAGCAGACAACTGTTCTGCTGTCGAAATATGTTTCGTGTCAAGCGGAATTGATTGCAAAATAATCTTGGCCTGCTTTAGGACTATATGGTATTGAAAAGCTTTTTTTTATTTTTTTAGCGAAGACTACAAAAAGAATTAATGTCTCTTATGAAAGAGCCACCACCAGGTGTGACTGTAGACGGAGATCAGGCTAGCCAAAATCTAACGTTGTAAGTACTAAATTTTTGTCCTCTTTGGTTTCGTCTCTAATCATGAAAATTAATATGAGCCTAATAATTTTATTTTCGGCTTATTACCAACTCTATACCTACCCTCTATAAAATTAAAAACAATTTATTGCAGCCGAATGCTACTGCTGTTTGTATAGACAATAAATTAAATTAATAAAAAACTTACATGAATATCCTTTTAAAAGTATCAATTCAAACAATCTGATCATCAGTTTAAATTTATTTAAGAAACCATTTCTATTAGTCTCCCAAAAAAATAATTTTAAATAGGTTCAAAAATCGTATTTTGTAAACTTATTCACATTTTCCATTATTTAAAAAAAAATTACCTTTAATAGCAAGCCCAACTACCAAATAACCATAGTATATTATCTTTCATCCAGCTCCATCCTACTGATTGTTGAATTTTATATAATTTTCTGATTCTCTGTTTAATTCCAAGTTGAAAAGGGCATACAAATCTTAATGATTAAACTCAAACGATTTTATGTTACATACGTGATATATCTATATAAATTACTACTTTGAATATTAACGAAAACACTGTTCTACAGATGGACAGTTCACATGGAAGGTGTTCCTGGCACATTGTACGAAGGTGAAAAATTTGTATTGCAGTTCAAATTCACAAACAAATACCCATTTGATTCTCCAGAGGTGAGTACAGATCTGTTCATTGTTAAGTCATCCATAACAGAAGTAATAGAAATAAATGTAATATTCGATACTAAGCAGCTAAATTCATAACTGAAGAAGAAACTTGTATATTCTATAACACAAATCACGGCTTTTTGGATTTGTTTGCATGACTGTTTAGTGGCACTTACTATGACATTATTAATTGCTCAACACTGATTTTGATTTTTGCATCCAATATGGTGATGATAAATTAATATAAATGATCTACAATGAAGTAAAAACTGTTGCTACTGGTTTACCAGATATGTTGCTTAAGTTACTGATCAAACATTATGGATTGTTTTGTCTATATATTGTACTAGCTGCTGCCCGCAACTATGTCTGCATAGAATAGGCTGAAGGCGTAACATTAAGACAGAAAGACAGATATACATAAAATATGTATATAAGTTATAGCCTGTGCCTTATTCTGATGTATAAGCTACGTTATTGTAAAGTTTCATTAAAATCCATTCAGTAGTATTTGCGTGAAAGAGTAACAAATATCCATCCATACATACAAACTTCCTTTATAATATTAAGTAAGGATAAATTTTTGTTATATTTTTGTCAATTTATGTTAAAAAAAAATTGTACTACTGAGTTTCTTTCGCCGGTACTTCTCAGACCACTGGCTGTTTTCCGAATTGGCCTCAATATTGAATAAAGATAGTTATTTTATATATTAGAAAATTTAATGAAAAGTTATATCGCAATGAAGTACAAGTGTAGTATTAATAACTTTGTGAATTAATCTTACATTGACGTTGTAGGAGTAAGTAACCTGCAATATTTAAAGTAAAATAAGCAGTAATTCGATAAAAATGTAGAGTTTTCGGGTACAGCATCCCTTATAGGTAAGATGGTAGTCAGCTAATCTTCAATTTCTTTGGTAATCTTTAACCCATTTTGTCAAATGATCTCTTAAGTAGGTTGTTTCTTTGAGCTTTATACTGTGTGTCTGAATTTTACTATTTATTTGTATGTATTAACTCATGAATTCATCACAGTCAATTAATAATGTTTGATAAAGCCTAAACTGGTGCAGACTACTTTCATTATCTTGTTGTTGTTTATTACGCAGGATATAATTAGTCTTGAATTGTTGGTATGTTATACATATTGTAAATGTGGATGGATCACTCAGATTCGGAACAAACTGTAGAACAATTGTAGATGTCAAACCAGGCAGCGTTTGTTGTCGTTAAAGGTCGCAGGTTCGAATTCACATCTATTCTACTCATTAAAATTCTCGCTGATGTAGATTATTGTAAAGTATGAAATCCTTAACATCATCCCTCCAGGTGCTTATATTTACAGGGCGCCAGTAATAGCTTAACCGCCTGTTCGTTTGCCAACTTTTCTCATTAAAAAAAGCCTGAAATTCAGGTCTACCTTGCACCCGTCGCTGTGAAGATGAATTTATTTTGCGCTACCTACCACGATTCTCTTTGGATTCGCGGCTTTTTGCCACGCCAAAAATGCCGCTGGCAACACCGCCACGGAGCACGTGACGCGCGAGACATCTCGCGGGCGACATTGCGAAATCATTCTCGACGGATTGAATGTTTTGCTCAACGCCAAGGGTTCATGGTGGTCTGCCTCTTGTTGCTAGCGTTAATTAGCTGCGTATTTATTCAATAATAGCCCACACTAATATTATGAATAGACACACTTTGTCCGTTTGTACGTGCGCGTTCAAATATTACGTAAGCGAGAAACTCCTAAAGTTATTTTCTTTATATTAAAGTACTTTTCATAACAATTTATAATATTAGGTACTTGTTGGTTTAACATAATAGTATGATAAAAAGATACCAGTGACCAAAATTATTGATTACTGTTTGGAAAACACTTTTCACATACACAATCCCATTTTTTATTTTATTGCCGAATTATAATTTTTAATGTTATGATCAAAGTAAACAATGAATATGTATCTAATAATAAATAAATAATAGTTTCCCCACTCTTAGTGGCGACTTAGTGAAAAAAAAAATATCTGCGTGTGTGCAGTAGTGATTTTTTGTTTAGAAATCATAATACTGATAGTCTATACTATACTAGTGTCGAGTCAGAACGAGGCGGAATGTAATGATTTTCATGGTTGTCCTGCAACCTTGAAATGTGTCAGCTCTCGCGTGCCAACGTCAAGTGTTGACCCTTGCAACATTGAAAATGTTACGATCATGCGATGTGCAATAGTGGAGTGTTGCACATTTGCATTAGGAAAATTGTGCAAGGGCCGTGATAGCTAATTAGTCGTCTAGTACAGGCGTTCGCTTTTAATTCATCCCATGTAGGGTTTGCCATAGAGAACCTAGCCATAGTGTTGCCATTAGAATATTTACAACGATCGATTTATTGGTTCACGTGATGCGCCAACACAAAGGTGGGATAAATGTAGGAGAAATAATTTAACCAAGGCTAAGGCAACAAACAAACACTCGCATTTTATATTAGCAGCGATGACGCCATTACTAAATGATGGTTAATATCGTCATGCCCAGCTCGCCGTTTACACTGTAGGGCCTTGTCTTTTGCCACTGCTTAAGCGAACCGGTCTTCATCGATCTTGGAGTACTTTAAAAAGGCCATTATTACCCGATGTCATTGTCTCGCATCGATCTAATATTTTTCCCTACAAAAGATTTCCACGAGGCCTTGCGTGGTCGTAACAGTGGTTTGTGATGTAGGCGGCTTTGTAAGCGGTTCTGAAGCTGTTGGCATCGGCGTGGGACTCTCGTTAGCTACAAATATTCTTGTGCCGTTGATATAAATAGTTCTGATTGGGGTCTCTGCCCTAGTCAAATGAAATACGAAAATACTAAAAAAGAATATAGTATATAAAAAAGAATACGGTATAGATCTAATTGGGGAGGCATTTATAGGTTTACTTTGGTCGAATCTAAATGTATATGTCGTCGCGTACTGAATGTAAAAGAAATCTGTTTTGCTTTTTACTTATAAGTATAGAAAAAAAAAAGTTTCTCAACGTTTGCAAAGGCTCCTATGTCTATCGTCCAACCAGAATTGAGTGTTTGAGTCAGTTCACTAATACAACAAATAAATAGTTTTTAATATCGTCCCGTAAAGTGACATTCAACTGAAAGTAGACTGATTGCACGTAATATAACAATATATTTTCTATTCTAACATGTCTACCGATATATTCATCTTTGTTGTTATTATCTTTCAACCAGGTTGAAAAAGTGATTACTATTATTTATTTATTGTTGCACTCGATGTTGAACCGTCAAAACACTTCAATACTAACCCTTCCAAATTTAAACTGTAGGATCGCGCCTCATATATGTATAACGTTTCAATATACCTAATTAGAACAAAGCAAAGATGATTTACCGATTTTCGGATCGCGATCCTCTACCGACCTAGTGTAACTGACTGCAAATTGTACGACACCTAAACCTAATTGCTAACGCGACGGAACCAGAATAATGAGCTGAAACAATTAGCCGTCTCTATAAATAGTATTCACGTATGCGGTCAGTTACTTGGATACGGCATTAATTGCCTATGACATGCGTTTGATAGAATGTATCTTTGCTACTGTCGATGAGTCGAATAAGTAATTGATAACTATGTCATTACCGGAGACCGCTCATCCTGTACACTCGTCTTAAATCCGACACCAACTTATTAATCAAAAATTAATTAAAAAACATTTAATAGTGTCGAATTGTGAATCTAAACCTCGAATCCACTTGAACACAAAAAGTTTAATCGAATACGAGTCCGTTTAGGAGGCCTTCAGTCACATACACGCACACAATAATTACATATGTAAAGATATTCAATCTTGTTCTTTATTTCTCCTTCCCTTGTTCCACATAGGTGGTGTCTGCACAATATGGGTAGTGTTGTTAATGGTATTAGCTAGATTTATTGTCAACTGTCCTTGGTAGCCAACACCCAGATGCGGAACAATTATCTACGAGTCACAAACATACTTTTTCCGTGCAATGCCATCTTTGGCCACACAGGGGCCCTAGTGCAAACAAGAATTTGGGGGCCTGTTCCAATGGGGGATGTACAAATATCTCACGTCAGAAGCGTGGATTGAATTTATCCCTACAATTTTATAGTTTTCCAGAGAGCACACTTGGCGTGGTAATAATATAACTTGACAGATTTTTATCACTTGGCCGTTTAAATATACTATTTCTGTGACCTGATTTAAAAAATTTTCACCTTTAAATATATTTACGCGATTAAGTTAAGCTGGGTCGTGTCAATATTTCGCAGTGCAGTCTCTATGTCACGTTTTGTGGCAATGTCGGCTTTCCGGGGCCTACCTGGCGCGGGCTATGTGCCCTTATGGTAAAGATGGTCCATACTGTCCACGGTACTGGTCCCGTGGCAATCGAAGCCACGAGCCATGGCGGAGAAGCCACCGCGCCACCTAGTCATCTAATAGCGTATAATAGCTAAAACTTTTCTCCACTGTAGGATGACAGCGGACCTTGACCGATGAGTACTTGATAAGCAGCACTTAAAACTGCAATTAACAATTTCATTGATGCCGGCACCGGATTTTAGCTCGGGTTGCTTCGATATTGTATTGAAAGCGAGCGCCTGCACACATATGTCACGTACGCAAATGATAGTACAAAAAATGTATAACAAAATAATGGGTAGGCTCGTCCGGGTAAGTACCACGACCTCACAAAAGACCGCCGTAAAGTGGAAGTATAATACTTTCGCGTTTCGTCTGGTGAGTGAGGTAGCCGGAGCCCAATATCCAAAAAGGTTGTCAACATATCTGCATACTCTCGGCTGTAGCAGATGTCCATGGGCGACGCTATTCATTTAACATCAGGTGAACCATCTGCTCGTTTGGCAACTTTTCCCTTAAAAAAATAAATAAAAAAAAACGCGACACGTGGTCAATGGTTCAGCAACAACGACACCGAGCCAAAATCAAAGAAGTGCACTACATATGCAGTATCCCATTAGTCCAATAATCCTAATAGATAATCAGAATAAATATGTATTCATTTACAAAAAAATATATTTATAAGTTACTAGTATCCATAGTACCTACATAGTTCTGCTTAGTTTGGGACTCGATAAAGTTGTGTAACTGTAAATACGTTCTGAAAACATTTATTTATTTAATTTCGTATTCGCAATATCGGTAGGTACTGATCGTTTTGAAAGAGAAATGATTTATCGGTAATTATAACTTGCATTTTGAAGAGGACACTTCATCCTTCATATCTGCCCCATGCTTCATATCGACGTGCTCAATAGACACTAGTTATCTATTTTACAGGGCCTCTATCTGGAAATGACTAATTATAACACAGATGTAAAGAATATAACATTTTTATTACGACCTCATAAATATGTTTTCCTCCTTGGATAACAACGGGGTTTGTGTTTTAATAAAATGATACGACGCGGAATAATAATTAATCGGTACACCGGACAAAATTTAACATTTTTCAAACCGACTTCCGGAGTAGGTTCTCAATTCGACTGTATTATTTTTTTGTTTTTTTTCTTCAGCACGTTCGATTGAGTGAAGCGATATTGATGATTATTTTTTTTATTTGAAAGCTGGTGCTTCCCATGTCATCCCATATTAATTTCATTGGTATTGGATCTCCGGAGATACGTAGAGAACACCTGAAAACCAATTATAAAACGCAGAGCGAGATATTTGAAGTCTTTATATTTCGAGATAGTCGAAATATTTCTTTTTCCTTAATAATTTTAAATTAATCCCGCGCAAAAAATATTTTCTGTCTTGCGGAAAGTCTCACAAATATACGCAAAGTGCGTGCGGACGACTATTAGGTATTATCGCACCGATTTTTGTAACGTGCCGGATCGAACCCGTAATAGATCGCAATATCTGACCAGAACATTTGGGCCGCCTGTCTCGTCTTTCACGATTATTGGAGTAATATGTCAAGACAAACCTACTGACAACTCGGCAATTCCGACCTGGTTTGAATCTTGGTTGTTGAGTTTTGTTTTTTGTTTTGTGTCTTGCAGCTTTAGGACTGGTGTAGATATTGACGAGGCTCACCTTTGCACTTGTCAGGTTTGGCTATTTTGGTAAAACGTAAACTTAAAAATTTTGGTAAAACGAATATCATACCGCATCAATCTTCCCTTTAGAATCAAAGATGTGACAGTTTATTTAAAGTTGGTCAGCAGGTTTTGAGAACAGTAAAAAGCAACGTTTCCAGCAAAACGGGTAGTTTTAGTATAAATAGGATGTTTAAATAAAAGACCTAATCATTAATCAACTTTATCGGCAATATTTATCCTTTATATACTAGCTGTAAGTTTCCCTACAAGTGTATAATAAAATAAAATATAGTATAAACTATTAATCTGTTATTAATCAAAGTAACTATATTTTTAAATATTTGCGCTCGCGTTGGCGTAGATCTTCTTTGGGCTGGCTGTAACACGGTATGCGGGTATTTAAAGTGATCTTATGTCCGGCCCGTATAAAAAACCCTTATAACGCCCACTTTTTTATTGGTCAGTAACGCATCTGCAACGCTCCTAGTGTTGTAGACGTTCATGGGCGGTGGTAATCACTTAACATCAGGTGAATCGTCTGCTCGCTCGTCAACTTTTCACATAAAAACTGTGGTAGGGCCGCGTAGCAGTCTTGGCTGTTGCGCGGATGGGCAGTTCCGTTCGGGTAAGCACCACGAAATCACAGAAGACCCGCGTGAATTGGAAGTGATCTTCTTCTGCGAGTGCCCACGCCACCGCAGCAACAGATTTGGCGGTTTAGGTCAGGTTTTTTAATTAAACACCATTTATAATCAAAACCTAAGATAACTGCGTGCACGTGCGTACAACAATTTAGTTCATTGGCGCATAAGCACAACTTATTCCGCCGCGGTGGCGTTAATACGTCAGCACCACTTTTGCGTATCGTCTGGTGAGTGAGGTAGCCGGGCACCCTACTTTTTTGAAAGTTGGCAACGTATTTGCAAACCTGCAAACGATGTTGCAACCGGTGTTGCAATCCGACAGCGGGTGAACGGCCAGCACGCTTGACATCTTCTTGCATAAAAAAAGAAACATCAGGTGACCGGCCAGTACGCTTCTTTCCTAAAAAAAAGAAAAAACGGTGAATAAACGGGGGTTCCGTGTGACAGGTGACGTTCGTGGGCAACAACATACCCGTGCACCCGCACGTCTACTCGAACGGCCACATCTGCCTCTCAATACTGACAGACGACTGGTCGCCAGCGCTCTCCGTCCAGTCCGTCTGCCTCTCAATCGTCTCCATGCTCAGTAGCTGTAAAGAGAAGGTGAGACAACCCCGGCCCATTCCTTTCCCCAACGCAACGCGATCACTTTAACGAGTTTAGATAGCAAAGCGAAACCACTGAGCTTCCAGTTGGGAGCCCTCGACATTATAGGTATCCGGAGATACCTCGTTCATCTGGAACAGCACCAGAAAGAACAGGATGGACCAGAACTAAGAACCAGGGAATTTGTTGATTGCCTCCCTGAATATTATGAAGGTTAGGCCCGTGCCAGATGCCGTCTGCAATAGAACACCGTAAATGGAATTCTTATTTGTAAGAGTAGTAAGCAATTATCTGTGATGTCACAAAGCTTTTATCCTGTTCGTTCTCAACTTTGTCCTACCAAAAACTTTGTCATACCACGGAAATCTGGTGATGAGTGACTACTCCTGTCTGTCGTTGTCAGCGACACCACTGAACTTCCAGTTGGTAGCCTTCGACATTATAGGTATCCGGAGATACCCCAATCATCTGGTAAAATTATAGCTGTGGCAGGGCCACACCACAGCTTCGGTTGTAGCACGAACAGACAGGTCCGCCCGGATAAGTACCACTACTTTACAGAAGACACGCGGAAAGTGGAATTGTCATACTTCTGCTTTTCGATTGAGTTTCGTAATAATTGTTTTACAGATGATAATTATTAGTGACATGAACGTAGAAGTATTTTATGCATCTAATTATATTATTTACATCTAACAATATATCGCTGTCTATTTACAGAAACGACCGCCGGACAATTCGTTCTACGTCAAGACCTGCAATAAAAATCCTAAGAAAACGAAATGGTGGTATCACGGTACGTGAGAAATTTTAATTTGTCTACATTTTATTTTTAATTTTTCTTTATGTGCCTGATTTAACTCGTTACATTTTTTTTTGTAAAATCTTTTGATAGCCTTTTTTTAAATTATTTTATTTCTTGTTACTGTCGCGTGCCTTTGCTTTTGTCGTATTCTGTTTCGTTATTCAAAAAGCGTTCCGTTCTCCATTTCGTTTGGTGACACTGGTGTTTTGTATAGCGCGAAACTGCGTACATAGTACATATGGATGTGGTTTCGGACCAATAGGTTTCAACGCTACCATTATCTTATCGCGACCGCGACGACAATCTAATCTATGCGATTCGGAATCGATAAAACGCGTCCGAGTTTTCCTATTCCAAATGGCGTGTACAACTATGGCATGTTACGATTAATATCATGATTGCGGCCTTGAACAGAGGAGCTTTTTCGTTTTATTCATCGCGGCTCGATCTTCTTATCGCTGTTTTCAATATTAATTTAAAAGGAGATCAGTGCGATCTCGAAAACATTGAACCCGTACAGTTTACATGTCTTGAATGTCTTGCATCCTTGTATGGCCCCAACATTGATTTATATTTCAGAAGATATACTTTTACTGTCGAGTTGCACTTTGATGATAATGTAACGCTTTAAAAGTAAAAGTGTAAACCTGTACATTTCCCACCGCTGGGCAAGGGACTCCTGTGTACAGAGGTTGTTATGACATATTTCACTATGGGATCCCAGCGCGATATATTATTTTCGTTTCGAATATATTTTTTTTCTTTACCGGTACGTACGCACGCATATCAACACTGAAATTCTCGATTATCAATTTCATTCGTGCCGTAGTGGGTAGTGACCCTGCCTCTTGCGTCAGAGGGTGTGGGTTCGATCCCCACTGCTGGAAAAATATTGTGTGATTAACATAGTGTTTTTCCAGTATCTGGGTGCTTATATGTTTATAATATGTATTTGTTTACAAAAGAAAATTATGTTTATTATTTATCTAGTACACACAGGACAAGCGTTGCTTAGTTTGGAGGACTAGAAAACGTTATGTCAAAATGTATAATGAATTATGTTGCTGTAAATATTGAATTAAAAGCGATCGCCTGGACACTAGCTGTCAGGGCTGAAATAACTACATCAAATCATTATGAAGGTAAAATATTTGAAGAATGAAACACATAATTATCTAATTAGAATTAGAAAATTTGATCAGGTACTTTTATTAGCATATACTATTTTTATGTGTATATTATGTGACTAAATGGGGCAGTCAAGGTAGAAAATTCATAAAAATAAATATGTTCGGTATGTATTATAAGGGTGATTATAAAAATACATAATTTTAATGTTAATAAACTTAAAATGTAAATTTTTGTAAGGAAATATGTAGTCATAAACTTTCGGTGTTGCGTCTTCTGCCCCCAGAATGTTTTAACAACTAACTATTGTACCAATTTTTATATTAATAATAAATAAAAACGGAAACAAGAAATTTAGCTTCATAAAAAAAAGAAGACATGTTAAGTCTGCCATTCAGCCGAGGATTCGCGAAGTGGACCGTGCCTGTGGTAGGGCCACGTAACACTTCGCTGTTGCAGGAATGGGCAGGTCCGACCGGGGTAGTACCAGGACCTTTTATTGCAAGGTGGCAACGCATCTGCAACAGCTACAATGTCCATCGGCGGCGGTTATCACTTAACATCAGGCGAAACGCCAACTCGCTTGCCATTTTGTCACATAAAAAAAAACCCTTATTGCGTCTGTTAGAAAAGGTCTTTGCTCAGCAGTGGGACTTTGTAGCTGTCGCTTAAATCTTAATATAAGCTAAGCGGTGACCGTTTACTGATAAGGGGTCGTATGATTGTCACAATGTTCGCACTTTTGCTTCGCAGACGACTCGGTTTAACAACGCACCGCGGCGCCGCTGATTCGAGCACGGACGTTTTAAATCTCAATATGTGATAAGTGTTATGTCGGTACGGAACGTTGGCATAATTATGATGTTGTGTGCACACATTCGCGGGTGATCGGGCGGGCGGGGCGCTGGACACGGCGCGCCTATATCGGAGACCGCGCGATGCCGCTGCTTTTGTGATGAATTTGAAAATGGAACGAGTTTTATTTCATCCTCCTTCCCCCTTCCTCCCCCCTCCCTCCTATCGCAATCGGCCGGCGTGTTACGGCGGAGCGAGGAAAATGTCTTTTTTTTCCTTCCCGCGTCACATACGGCCGGTACGTTTCGGTGCGGCTTTAGGAAGTTTTAGATTTTTTTTTTCGATATTCGGCCATTACGTTTCAGCTTCGTTCAAAAATTGAGGGCTTTTTCTCTTAACGAACAGTCAATCGAGTGTTAGATTAAAAGCGAAGTTGTCAAGTTTCTTTACAGTAATGTCAATAAGAATTTTGGTAGAACAATTCAGTTGAATTTAACACCAAAGAACAATGCGAATAATGTGGCAGTACGTTTTCATAGTTAATTAACTTGTATTTATTTAAATGATTGATAATGTTTTCAATTTACACGCGCTACCGTCCATAGTTGCTACTTTTAGTGATCGTGCTTCGCACACATCATTAGAATTTAATTTATTGGCATTTTAGAATTTTGATTTTGATGCTTGTAATGCATTAATTTGCTTTGAAATTTTAAAAATAAATACTCAAACCAATGTCGGCATGATCAACGCAATTGCCGTAATTATAAAGAAAAACCTGTCAATAAATGTTTTTAAAATATAAATATTTGAATAAAACGAATTCCATGATTTTTTTTCTACTCGCACAAACTATTTACGTCTTATTAGAATCATTCGTTATTTATCGATGTTCTTGCGAAAGCAGCTGCATTGGACGCGGGTAGTTTTTTAATCTGTGCTAAATTATAATATATTACCTTGTAAGTAGCGTAATAGGATATGAAATGAAATGGTACTGCTTATATTTTACGAATAAATTAACAGTCGTCTTATTCATTTGTATATTTTTTTTTGTTTAAACTTTTATGCCATCATATGTCCAGGATAATGCATTTTAGAGATTGACGTTTAAACGTTTAGAATTTGTTTCTATTGGCGACCCGCGTACAAATGTAACTCTCCGCTTTTGAAACGCGAACACTAAACAACACCAAATCTATGACTTTTCTAGACACCGCTTTTATTTTTTTATTCTTTTTATCAAAGTTTTAATAGTCGTGTCTGTACCTTTTCTTATGTTATAGTTCACCATTGTATTTTCTACTGTCGCCTTTTTAGTATATAGACAATCGATTTGGCATTAGCGCGTAAAACTGTCATCATTATAACTACCTACCTGTGTCGAGTATTATGGAATTATGAAGAGTTGCTAATGTTTACTGTTCGCTCTATAATAATTATTGTTATTTAAGGGAAAAATTTAAAAGACAAATGGTTCTGCGCGGTAAAACAGAACCACATTAAATTTAGGTAACTAACCAATTGAAGAGATTGTATGCCTTCTGTCTTTGTTCTTTGTAAATTAACTGTAGCTTCTGATAATGGGTTCGGAGTTTTGGGATGAAAATTCAATTATGGCCAGAATCCAAACAAACTAGGGCGTTTTTGAATAAATTCAAAAAACTTCTGGCCCACTTTTTATACCTTGGCAACGGATATGTAAGCCTTCAAGTGTTGTAGAAGATCCATGGCCGTTTGCCAAATTTTCACATGAAAGCGCACGCTATAATATGTTTTGAGTCAATCTGGAATCATTGGAAATTGTTTTCATCCCAGACCGTCCGACTAAGTTGTTTGTATTGCATAGTGACTGTTACTATTATATCGCTACGGAGAACATTTCCAGATTATTCTTATAAAGAGATATCATAAAAGATTATTCTTGCACAGTCATTGATGTTCGAGTAGGATTCATATTGTATCGTACATATACATTTTTTCAGTATGTTCTATGAAGAAGCAATCAATATCAATCAATCAATCAATTTCAATATTTTACACAACCGTCCACATTATTTACTGTAATCAACGTCAATATTGTATAATTTTTTAACAAAACTACACCAATTTCATATTGAAAACTGTTAACGTCAAAATATTTCACGCCATTTTGCACTAGTCGCAAGAGCACGCGTTTGGTTGACTTTGTAGAATGTACTTTAAAATGTTAAATTTTTTCATAAAACGAAGGCAATGTAAACTCAATGTGATGAATGCAAATAAATATATATATGTATATCAAATTGTGTCGAAAATTATCAATAATCACTTATGTATATACAATTTAATAAGCAAACGTTAATAAGAGCGTTTAATTTTTTTTTAATCCTTTGGCTCAATTATAAAACTGTAGATGAAACGTGAAGACATTAAAATATTTCCTCTCATAAATATTTTGAATAACAAAATTATTTTTTGTATTTCCTTGGAAGAAAGTACGTATTTGATAACATTCTTACTTGGAAACCAGTCGAGTTATTTCCAACGACTTCCAAAATAAAGTATTTTCGTAACAAAGTACAAAACAGCATATTGGCCAATAGGGTAAAGGTGTGTGTAATAGATGTAATACCTTCGAAATCCTTTAGTAGGTAACTATGTATTGTATATATCCTGGTCGGAGAAATAACATTTTTCTTCGTATCTTAATTGGTACGAGAAATAACGGTTTTCTGCAAGATTGAGAGGTTTTTTTTAGTCAGGGAGAGTTTAATTTTTTTCTGGCCTTTTTATATACCTACTACATAATAATGAAAATTAGGAGATTGAAATAGACAGTTTCCTTAAAATATATACGATACGCGATTGATTAGTTTTACTTTCCGGCTTGTTAGTAAAACAACTTTGAGGTTATAATATAGCAATTTGTAAAACTATATACTCCATAAAATCATGTTCTTTGTTTTAAACTAACCAAGCAATTTATATAAAAACGGAAAAACACTTTTGGTATACAGGCACACTTTTCCTCTACTAATAGCTTGATCAAATCACCAATACACCAATGGAATATTTAAAATGATTTGTAATGCCTACAGTTAATATATCGACAGTTGTTTGGTAAGCAAACAACCAATCACAAACTTCTGTCTTCAAAATACACAAAGAGTTGGAAGATGGCCGCTACTGATGCATTGTGGTGTACAATTATTTATACTTTAAATTCTAATTATTTAATGTTTACTTTATTACATTGCCCGGTTTCACCGTACAGTCACTTGAAAATTAATCCCGCCTAAACAGCCGCCACCATTGGACGACTGACACATTCCCAAATATACATGGTGTCCTATTTGCGACATCGATTCCAATAGACATTTGTTTGACACTGTATTGGTTTTTATATGATATACGACATTTTCGCTCTGCGTAGCGTACTTTATTGCGTGTTAATCAAAACTGGTCATGCTTTATTTATTGTAATGAATAATTAAAAATGGTTTATATTATGTTTGTTTTTAATTTTAACAAATGCCTTATTACCTTTCATAAATGGGCTTTAATAGAATTTTTACAAATGTATTGTAAAATAAATTTTATGAAACGTTTCATGAATAATGTTTTTAGACGACTTTACTCTGGCTGATGCTTTTGATTTCATTCAGTAGACTGAAAGCTTCATCGAACGGAAAGGTCGTCGGATATCCAAATCTTACAAGCTTAGCTTGATAAGGACATCCGCCAAGGGTAGGGCCGCGCATGTGCTCATGGAAAAAATGACCTATGACCCCAATGCTCGTTGGCCCGGGTCGGTGAGGACGTTACATGGGCGACCCTGCCTACCTTACCTACCTTATTTTGGTGCTGATTTATGTGTCAAAATAGGTATGTAAATGTTTCAGCCCTTCGATACTTCTAATTAAAACAGAACGCTTTTAAATTAGCTTTTGCTGTTTATTATATTTTATGATTAAAAACATTTTTGTCCCTAGAAAATTATACTTCTTTTCTGCGTCTTCGGGAATGAACAATCAGATATTAATTATAGCCCGTGAGGAAAAATAGCTTCTTAATTGCGACACCGATTCATCAAGAAAAAAGAATTTATATACATATATTATATAGACGAATTTATATACATGTACTCTATGAGAGCCGTGATAGCTCAGTGTCCGGGCGCTCGCCTTTAATTCAATATACTCAAGCAACCTGAGTTCGATCCCCGTTGCCGGCACCAATTAAGTTTTTAACTTTAAGTGCTGACTTATCACGTGCTCCGCGGTGAAGGAAAACATCGTGAGGAAACCTGCATATTTTCGAAATAATAACAAAAAAATATATATATATTTCGAAGACATGTGAAGTCCGTCAATCCGCAGTGGGGCCCCGATGCCCTCTGTATAGAGGAGGCCTTTGCCCAGCAGTGGGACATGTATAGGCTGTTGTTACTTTACTTTTATTATATAGACAACACCAAAATAAGTAATTCATTTTTATTTTCTTCACTTGATTTATTTTAACGAGTTTTATAAATTATACAACCTGCCAAAATCATGTCACGCAAACTTATTTCTAAAACAAAGTCGCTTTGGCGCTTGTCTGCGCGTCCGCTTAGTACTTCTAAACGACTTTTAATATACGCAACAGATTATGAAACGATTTTAACAATGATTTAGGTTGGGTAATAAGTATGGAAAGTAGCGATATCGTCATTTATTTGAATGAAGAACAAAATTTTAAAAGGAGTCTGTATATATATACAGAATTGCTGAGAGTGTTTTTTATATAGACAGTAGCAGTATTCAATAAAATAAGTGCGTAAAATATTAACGATAAATGCTAAGTTGAAACTTCACAACAATATCGCAACCTTGCCCGCTACCAACCTAAGACTTGGTTGTAATACCTTGATAGAATTATAGCAATATTTTTAGTGCTCTGTAAGTAATCCTTATGACTGTAAACATGACAAAAATTAATGCATCTTAATTTTATCAATATTAAATAAATAACCAAATAAAGTAGATAACCTAAATTTAAATATTCAAAAAAGCTTACCCTACAATACTCTCTCAAAGGTTATAAATATAAATTTTCAATATAGCAACACTACCATTTTAGGCATCTGTTAAAGAGGAACAACAAATTTTTATATTCGCGTCTAAACCGAAATATAAATCCAAAAAACTATATATTATCTCTATGATAAGATTTTCTTTTCTTTGATTAGATTTTCTAGCGTTGCTATGTAAATTCTGATCAAACACATCATATGCGTCAACAAAAAGTTTACTGTACAACAACTTAAATTGACTTCTTTGCAATTTACTCGCTTAACTATTGTACTGTATGATTCATATGTGGTCACTTTTTGATGTTTGGACGGACTGCATTTTAAAATAACATAATATTAGGTATATATTGTGAGATGTGCAAAAAATTATAGACATATATCTGGTAGAAACTGGAGTATTGAAAGGAAATTAGACAAGACTTATTTGAAATGTTATGGAAAACCCAAAGAGTGATAAGTTCATGTTAAAGTATGTTACAATCCCCTTAACTTAGCTTCTGTGTTACATATATTACATACAGGTTACTATTGTTACATATCTATTTTATGATATTGTATAAAACATAAGATATGATAGCTGGTGAGATGATGGTATTAGCATCTCTAGGTAAAATCCCTTTAATAATATTGATCATTAATCCAGCAAAATATTTCAACATTGGGAGTTTTGAAGCTTAAATTTTTTTGCTAATCTCTTAAGTACTTAAGTTGAAACATTCAAATTTGCACAAAAACGAGCGAACAGTCGCCGCTGCGGGAGTCGAGTTCACGTCTTCCGGATTTGCGTCCAGACACTTCAACCACTAAGCTAAACAGCTGATTGCCACACCAACCAAAATCTCAACATGTTTTATCACTGTTCTAAAATTGGGAGTTTTGACGGTTTCATTTAGTAATATTGTACTTAGTGGCGAAATATGTTAAATTGTGTAATAAAATACTTATATATCGCATTTTAGTAATTACTGTTTGTCCCAAACTCAATGCAACTTGCTCTTCACCAGATATGAATCATACAGAACATGATTTATGGAGTTGCAGATAAGATCTGTTTCATTTTACTTAAATAGTAACTATGGTCATACCGAGTAACTAATATGCCATCGGTAACTTTTACATTCGAGTCAGGTGAATAAACTATGTTTTCGCCTTTAGATGTGGTCATTTTTCCATCCACAGTCCTTATAATGGCATCACCTGCACACAGGTCCCATTTTTTAATAGCTGTCGTGTGAATATACACATCATATGTGCCATTGACAACTCCCATAACTTTGTAGCCCGCTCCAGCAGCCTTGTCTACTGTTGTTTTTGGTCCAAATGCCTCCTTAGCTATTTCCGACACTTTCCCCTGGTGAGATATAGACACAACTACCCTTGGATGTTCCTTATTTTCCTCACTCTGAAAATAATATAAATAAATTAACAGCCATCACCTAGGCCTTTGCTGATTTCATTGATAAACCACAATTGAATATTTAATTCTGCTGTTAATTTTTGCATAATATATAAATTGAAATTACTGAAATGCTGTCAGTACAAAAATAAATAATTCTGATGACTTTGGATATGTTACCTTGAATTTTAGATGATAAGTTTCAAAGAGACTATAATAAAGGATTATTATGTTGCATAGTGCACTGTGATAGGGCCATGCAACAGTTATTTTTGCATGAATGGGCAGGTCTGCCCGGGCAAGACCACAACCTCTCAGAAGACTGGTGCAATAAATAATATTTTCGGACACATTTTTACACAACATTCTCTAGTCTCAACTAAGCAATGCTACAAGCTGTGGGTACTAGGAAATAGATAAACATACTTTTCTTTTATAAATAAATACATATTTTAAATATTTGAACACCCAGACACTGGAAAAAAAAGTGTTGCATATGTCCATGGGCAATGGACATTGTCACTTAACATCAGGTGAACCGCCAACTTGCTGGCCACCTTCTCGCATAAACATAAATTGAACTTCTTTAAGATTCCATTGTGTAAACATTAAATGAAATACTCTGTGAGTTTTTTCACTTTTCGTTATAAAAGAAAACCAGTACTCACATGGACAACATTGGCAAAATTACTTGATGCTTTCTTTGCCAGCCAACCCCAGTAAGTCTGCGGATTTTGGGATGGAAACGGGTAGTGGATAACTCCAATTATTGGTATACCCTTATATGCCACACACACCATGGTGGTAACATATTGATACAAGCCTTCTGAAATATAAACAAAAAATCAATTACAACAAAATATACAATAATTTATTATTCAGTAACAATTTATTATAATAAGATGCATTATTTCAACATATTTCTTTTGTCTTTCCAAATTATTCAAACACTTGCACTAGTTTAGTTCAAAAATATATACCATTTTATATCACATTATAGACAAATAAATATTTTTTCACAAAAAAGATTGTTGAACAAAGATAAAATGATATTTTATCTTTGTTCTACTGCATGACATTTCTATCAATCTGTCTCATATTAATTATTAACTTAAAACTTTAAGTGAGCAAATTTCTTTTTTTCATATCTGAAACAATAGTTTTTTTATCTGAGAAGGTGGCAATTGAACTGGTGGACAGTAGATGTATTTGTAGGATTGTAGATGTATTGCCACTAGGCCCCAGCTACCTCACTCACCAAACAAAATACACTAGTAGAAAACGTCCACTTCACACTGATCTTGTGTGAGTTTCTGATCTTGTGTGAGTTTCCACAAAGATTGTTGCCTGGCCCAACCACAGTTTTAATTTTTTCTTTTCTGATTTATTGTTGATACAATTTCATAACAACATATCATAATATCCTTTTGAAACATTCTTTTTTTAATTTTCTTAATGAGTGGAGGAATTTTATTTACCTGTATACTCTTTTGTCGCGTCTAATGGATCAATCCAAATCGTAATGTCTTTCGCGAAAACAAGTTCATTATTCATATATTCAACCGCCACATGATTACTTGAAATAGATTCAGTGTCAAATGGCTTTTGATCTTCACATATGGGATCGTTTTTAGAGTGTTCCTCTGATACTATTGTCAACTTAGGAAAGGTTTGTTTAAGACCGTAATACATCGCACAGTGCGAGGCGTAGTCTGCATCTGTGACTGGATCATTGACACCTTCTTTCGTTTTCCCTTTAATTTTTATATTCATATCTCGATTCTTACCATCCGCTACCTTGGTGCCTCCCAATTCTGCCGCGTAGATAGCCGCTTTGAGCAGCGTTTTGAGATTAACGAGATCATTTTTGTCTGTCGGGTAACTGGACCGGCCTGAACGCCAATAAATTATGAGGAACAAAACAAATGCTAACGTAAAACATGCGAATTTGTTTATTCTTAATGTTCCACCAAAGTTCATTATAAGTTCTTTTCAATCTACTTCCTTATATTTTACATTTAAGTGAAAAAGTTGATTTCTTAATTATGTAGAGTCCGGTTGTTTCTGACAGTTCTGAGTAGTAATGAGTAGTGTTGCATATCGATAGTCTGCTATCGATAGACAATCGATTATCTATCGATAGTTAAGGTAAAAGCAATAATATCGGTAGTCTATCCATAGTATGGTCACGTGTCAATACTGTCGATACTACCGACAGTATCGATGACTCTCCAAGTGCTAATACTATTGATAATAGCAATACTATCGATAGTAATGCATGCGATATTTGTATACGATGGTTGTGCAACACTAGTTCTGAGGTAGTAGGAGGTATAACCGAGTTCAGGGGCAAAAAATATCGATATTTTATATCGTTGATATTTTTTGTCCCGCTATATCGATATTCGATATTTATGACTATCGAACTCTGTCAATTTCGATATATTTTTAACTTATCTCTAGATTCGTGTTTAATAATACTAGATACTCGTTGCATTCCTCACGCACTTTAAAAATTCTTTTCAACTACGTATTTTGAATGATTTGTAAATATGTAAAATGATATTCCTATATATATATATATATATATACAAATATGTAATAACAAGTTAATAAAATTTTAAATTACAACGAGTCTTAAAACGTTAACATTGGATGACTATCATAAAATAGTGAATTGTTGGTATAAACAGGTGCTGTTACAAATTCACCATGTATAATTAGGTAGTATTAATAAAAGGTATAGATAGTATTTTCTTAATATTAATTTAAGAACTGTACGGCAGGTCACTGACTGACCTACTGCTAAAGCCTATTTCCTAATCCTACGATTCCTAAATTCTAAAAATAAATTGAAGTTATTTATATAAAATTATTTATAAACAGCTTAATCACAATATCACGTAATGAGAAAAAATTGTTGGAAAAGTTTAGATTATGACTAAATAATTACAAAATGTGAACTTGTTTAAGTAATTGATCTAACTTCTAAAATAAATTCTCATTATATTTTTCTTGTTGCCAACACTCACTGCATAAATGTCATAATATAATATGACGACCAATGAGCATTCAGCATATTATCAGCTGTAAACCTTCCGCAGTAGAAGCATCCTTATTTTAAGCGAAACGTTTAGCCAATTTTAGTGTAGTTATAACTGATTACGGCATAAGAACAGTGCTACACAAGAACAGTTGTAACTATGATTTTAGTGGATATTTATGATATGGTGAGTTGGTGGCCTTTAATTTTTCTTTAATCAATTTAATGTCGAACGAAATAACTTTTTTCATGATTTTCGTATCCTAGATGAGTTGGTGGACGTTTGTCATTGCAATCCAAGTGATTCTGGGCTCAACGTACTTTCTGTGGACGAGGAGGAGTAAAAAATATCAAGACCCCCTAATGACCGATCAACCTATTGAATGGAATCCAGTTCCCCTGGTGGAGTATGACGTAGAAGTAGAAGAGCCTCCTATAATGGGAAAAATAGACGAAAACGTGCTCAACGTAGGCGCAACAAGTTTCTTATGCTTTGATAAAGAAGAGACGATAGTGGAAGATGCTATAACCTCCTTACACAAATATGGAGTAGGCTCCTGTGGCCCTCGAGGCTTTTACGGAACGATAGATGTGCATTTGGAGCTCGAGGAGCGCTTAGCGAAGTTTTTGGAAGTCGAAGAAACATGTGTCTACTCATATGGGTTCTCTACAATAGCAAGTGCAATTCCCGCATATGCCAAAAAAGGGGACATAATTTTTGCGTAAGTTTCCTAACAAACAGGAAAGTCATTCAAAATATTCTTAAGGATATAGGTTTTCCGTAACTTGAGTAATATGTGTATTATGTCAATAAATCAGTTTTCCTTCTGATTGCTATAATGTAGTTGTTTACAGTAAAACTAATCAGTCATGTAATTTAAATATTAATGACAACAATATGTTGTGACATGACGATTAAATTTGATCAACAAAATTTTTATTACTAAAATTTTTATTACACCTACACCTAGCATATTTTTAGTATCAGTTAAAATCAACTTTATTGATTTAAAATTATTGTACACAATGTTATATGGTCATGTCTTTAGGTGAAAAAATACTTTTAATTATTTATTTTATTGTATTTTACATTTCTGTATTGCTAACATAAATAAATGTTATATTGGCAAATAGATTTGCTCATATAACTAAATTTTACTTATCTATTTCTATGTAAATAGTAACGATCTGAAAGTTTATCATTATTTACAATAAAAATTTTGTTTACAGAGATGAAGCGGTTTGGTTTGCGATACAACAAGGCATTGAAGCATCCCGCAGCACTGCTCATTACTTTAAACATAATGATGCAAAAGACCTTGAAAGACTCTTATCAGAGGCCGCACAAAAGAAGGAGCTAAATCCGAAGAGAAGAGCTTTCCTCATAGTTGAAGCTATATATTTCAATACTGGTGAAATGTGCCCCCTTAAACAGGTAGTAGAACTGGCACGGAGATTTAAATTGAGGATAATTCTGGATGAGAGCTTAACTATTGGGGTAAGTTAAAACATACTATTTTGTTCTTCATTATCAGTAATTTGGCCATGCATTCCACTCACAAAAAACTATTGCAATCCGAGAACTTTGTCTCTTGATTGGTGTGAGAAGTAGTGAATGTTGCACCAGAGGCTGTGGGTTCGGTCCACACAACTGGAAAAATGTTGTGTGATAAAGATAGTATTCTTCTAGTGTCTGGGTGTTCATATATGTATAATATGTATTTATTTACAAACCCTTGTATAAATATGATATTATAAAAGATGACATTGTACCAAAAAAGCTAATAACATACATCAAAAGTAAGTTAAAATAAACGTTAATTCTACTTACAAAGTAATTAGTTCTCAATTAATAAATTCCAGAATCCGTTGGAGCTACTTTTTTAAAAAAAAAATTGAAATATGTAAAAAATACGTAATCATGAGAAAATAAACATAAGCTAACTTATTAGAACTATGTTGGCTCATTATTGGCTTAAAAACCCAAATAAAAGTTGTACCGTGCTTAGCACGAGATAGTATTCAATTACGCACTGAAGAAAATTTGAAAAGCTTTTGTTGGCCGCTTTCGGATCCACTTCATCAGTGGTTGATATTGAGTAAAATTCGCAAATTGATTCCATAATAATTACAAGAATTGACTAGATTATAACGCACCGTAAAAGGAACGGTAAAATTTGAAGTTCAGAGCATAAGAAACAGGAATATAGATTAGCTGCAAAATAACGTTAAGCCACCGTAAAAGAAAAATATATGCTTTTTTCCTGTTATTGAGAAGTGATAGGTGTTCTGTGTTATAATTTGGAGTCTGTTTCGATCAGAGTTCAGTGTCAGTCAGATTTTCAGCCTCAAATTTTTTTGTGTGAGAAAGTGGAAAACGAGCTGGCAGTTCACCTGATGTTAAGTGATATCCGCCGCCAATGGACATTTGCAACACCCGTAGGGTTGCAGTTTCCTTGTCACCTTTTAATAAAGTGGGCCCCGGCTACCTCACTCACCAAACGAAACGCAGAAATGTAACACTTCTAATTTACGCCCGTTATGCGTAATAATAATACGGTGAGGTTCACGCTAGGCGACCCGAGCGCCAAGCAACCTCAAGTCCATCGGAACTGGAAAGGTCCCTAAGGCCAACAGTGGCTCATCCAGCCTAAAAAAATCATGCCGGTCTTCTGTGAGTCTTTGTTACTTACCCGAACGGGCCTGCCCATTCGTGAAGCAGTGAACACTGTTGCGACAAAAATCTTTTAAATATACGATTTGTCTCAAGTATTTATGTTAATAAAAATGTTTTATTTTTAGAAACCTATGTTCAAGTATGTTTACTAATTTTTTAGTACCCATAGTATAAGCATCGCTTAGTTTGGAACTAGAGAATGTTTGTAAAAATGTGTCCCAAAAAAAAAAAAAAGTGCTTCAGATCACTAACCAAAGTAAAATTCACGCAACAAGATAGGTGGATATTATTATAAAGTCATGTGTCGATTTCGATTGCTAAAATGTAAACAACAATTAAACAGATTTTAAGGTTCATTTTACAAAATCTCTCACCATCATTCAAAATTGACCTATTTTTTGCAGTTAGTACCTATATTGTGCTAATTGTTTAGCATCGTTTGAAATGCGGTTCTGTAATACTTAACATTCAATACGTCATGGAGCAAAATAATGAGAGTATGATTTCGTAGCTGAGCTCAATTGGTTAGCAATTTGTTCGTTAAATAGACTGTTGGCCCTTAAAGCACGGCACCCCATCGTCAAGATTGTTCCATTTTATCAACGCCAGTACCATCTTGGCCTAAAGTTCATTATGTCATTATGTATTAGACAGAATATATCCCATTCCGCTTCGTGCTCTCGTACGGAACGGACGTCTCTCTAAGACGGAGGGCACATGCCACCCGAATTAGACGCCACTCGCAACCTCGGTTGCAATTTCAATCTTGTGCAAATAATGCAGTAGTTTAGTGTTAGTGTAGTGTTGTGCTCGTAGGCAGGTTCCTGTTTGTAAGTAGAATCCTACACACACTTCTCGCCTCAGAGGCGGCATTGTTTCATTTATTAACTGTGTGCTTGTTGCAATAGGCGACAGCTAGGTACCCATCCTAGCGCACCTAAAGCGCAGGCAAATTTGTTGTTATTTCTAGGCACACTCCTCCCTGCCGCAAGGTGGGGAGGCTTATTTAGCTCACACACGCCGGCGGGGCTACAAGCCCCAAAGGCACTTACGTCGCGATGGGCTCCCTTTTCGAGGAGTTCGTACGCAAAGAATGCCCCGCTATGTGGGAACGTTTTTTCTCGCTTATGAAGCCGAGCATAGGCAATTAGCTGAACTCGCGTCGCCGCTATTGCCCGCACCGTCTGCGCCCGTTACCCCGTCGCCCTCCGCGACCTTAGAAGCTGCCGTCGCGTCGGCATCCGCTAACGCGAACTCGCCCATAGCGCCTTCCGCGCAACCAAACCCGACCTCTTTTCGCTCCGTCGTACCCGACTCACAATCGGACGGCGGATCGGACATGGAGGTCGAAATGACCCCCGCTGAAAACGCGAACGCCGACGGCTTCACCGTCGTTAAATCGCGTAAAAAGGGCAAAAAAAAAAAAGAGGCCCCGCTGCCGACAGCGACCCCGAATGCGAGGCCGCCTCAACGATCCGTCCCACCGCGACGCCCGCCAAAAAGGCGGCCGCGACGGCTAAACCGATGCGCGAATTCGCCTCCGAGCGAAAAATAAAGCCTCCTCCACCCATCATCATTCAGGAGAAGGCTAAGTGGCACCAAATTTGTTCGTGGTTTGAACGCCACAATATCCGCGACCCCCGGTCGAAAAACACGCATATGGGTATCCGCGTATACCTTGACACTACGGACGACTTCCGTCGCGTAACTAAGTACTTGCGCGAAAACAAGATAGGTTTCCACACCTACTCTTTGCCCGAAGAAAGAAAACTTCGGGCAGTAATCAAGGGCGTCCCCAAAGAGTCGGATGTCGACAAGGCGAAGACCGACATCCGCACTCAGGGATACCCTGTGCATAACGTACGCCGCCTCAGGCACCCTAGAACCCGTGTCCCTATGGACATGGTGATGGTTGAACATGATCCTACCCCACCGTGATCGTGATCGAGCCCCCGCGAAGATCGGGAGTTGTGGCGCAGTGCCACAACTGCCAACACTATGGCCACACGGCTAATAATTGTTTCGCTCACCCTAGGTGCGTCAAATGCACCGGTGACCACGGCACGCCCGATTGTACGCGGCCAAAAGATTGCGCAGATCCACCGGACTGCGTTAACTGTCATACCACCGGCCACCCGGCTAGCTACAGGGGCTGCGCTAAGGCCCCAAAAACTCCCGCGAGAAAATCTCCCCCGAAATCTACGTTGCCCAAACCCGCGCCCGTGAAATACGTTCCCGCGCCCGTACCCGTCGTAAACGCCTGGGCGAAACCCCAGGTGGCCGCGCAGGTAGTTGCGCCCCCGGTCGCCTCACGACCAATCGCTCCCGCCTATCAAACGGCGCCGACGCCGCAGGTGCAGTCGACACCGTCGGTTTTCGCCGAAAACAAGGACGACCCGTTCGCCCAAATTGCCAACATCTGCGCCTTATTAGACCGCATTAATAGACAAGAACTCGCCGTATTGTCCGCTAAAATAGCGGCCGCCACATCTGGCAACGCGCGATTTAAAGCCATTAGCGAACATAAAATGCTTGTAGAAGCCCTCTGGGCATTTACAAGCCAACCATAAACTTAATAGTCCGCGCAATAAAACCGCGCTCCGCCGCGTCGTTAGTTAGAACTCATAAAAAACTTTAATGGGAAGTACAACCGCAGGTAGAACAAAACCTCGGGCTCTGGTTGTTTCGTATTTCAACGCAAACGGCATAAAGGGTCAAAGGGACGAAATCGCGGAATTCCTTCGCGATTATAACATAGATATTTTTCTAGTGCAAGAGACATTCTTAAAACCTAGTGTACGCGATCCCAGAATCGCAAACTACAACATAGTCCGCCACGACCGGTTAGCAAACCGTCTGGGAGGCACCTTAATTTATTACAAACGGTCCTTGCACTGTAGCCCGCTCCGCATCCGCGTGTAGGTTAGCGCTCACCGGCCATAGGCCGCTTGTACTAGTCTCAGCCTACCTCTCGGGGAACAAAACCTTATTACAAAGCGACCTAGATACGCTACTTAACTTAGGCCCTTCCGCGATAATTGCAGGAGATCTAAACTGCAAACACGGCTCATGGGACATCCACAGCATCCCAAATAACAACGAAAAGCATCTCTTTAGCTTATCCGATAATTTAAACTTTAGCATAATTGCTCCTGCGACTCCCACTAGGTATCCTACGGTGGACAACTACCAACACGCGACACCGAGTATCCTAGATATCATGTTACTCAAGGAGGTCTCGCTCGACATCGAGTCGATAGAGACAATCCATGAACTAGACTCAGATCACAGGCCCGTCCTGTGTAAACTGGGCCAGAACGCCGGCGCGGTACCTCCGACCAAATCCGTAGTGAGGTCAAACTCAAGGCCTTGGACCCCCAGGACTTAGTCGACCTACCCGGGACGATAGCTACGTTCGATGACGCAAATCGAGCGATAGCAAGTCTCTGAGAAACCATCACTTCCACAGTCGCAGACTCGGAACGGACGGTTAAACTGTCGGGCGATCGACGGATTAACTTTCCGCCCGAACTGCGACTCCTAATTAGGCAGAAAAATGCAGCCAAACGCGCTTTCGACCGATACCGATCGGAATCGAACCGAACCCTACTTCGACGCCTTCAGCTAGAAGTCAAAGATCGTGTATCGGAACACCGACACACAACGTGGGACACTCCTAGAGAACATCGAGCCATCGCACACCGCCTACTGGCGGTTGGCCCGCAGTCTGAAAGCAGACCCCCGCGAATCTCTACCGCCGTTAGTTAGACCTAATAGCGCTTCAGTAGCCCTAGATGACTCCGAAAAAGCCGAATGCCTTG